CCGGGCAACCTGTGCCGGGGATCTGTCACCCCCAATCAAGAGGTTTTCCTCAAATTCATGTGGAATTTCTTGTGCTTCACTGTGTGGCATTGCCTCTTGTCCAGCTTGTAACGCTGCCTGAGTTTCAGACCACCTCAGGAAGATGCTCTTCCTGGATGTTAAGTACAGCTACTTAAGAGAATGAAATGAAAATATTGCAGGTCACTCAATTTCTTTGGATTCCTTCTGTACAGCTGTACCACACTCCCCAAGTAAAAGTGGTAAAGTAGGTTCCTTTTCACACTTGACTTAGAAAGCAGCAATAACCTCTTTGCAAAGCAGTTTGCAACCATTCATGTTATCTGGGGTGAAAATTTCATACTCCAAGCCTCAAAAATCCTCTGAGCGTTCCCAAGTTCAGGGCTTGATTTGCATTATGGAAGCACACATTAAAAATTCTGTTAATTCACCAGCCTGAATGTCCACAAAGCTCCTTGATGGAGCTAAGCAACCTGTTACTGCCGTTGTCTGCTTCAGGTTTCCTCCGGATCCTTTGCTGCTGCTTGCCTGCCAGTGCCAGCAGCTGCAAGCAATATTTCCTCCTGACTCTGAGCAAGCGAGGAGACGCAGCCCATCCTATCAGATGCTAATTTGGCCACAGTGACTCACTCTCTTCCACGATTTCCAGGCTAATTGCTACAACATTCTCTAGCTCCCAACATGATCCCTAGAATCTACAGAAAATTCTGATTAACAATGTTGTAGTCAAAGATAAAGGTGACTTGACTCCTTATGTGTAATAAACCAAATAAAATAATCTTATGTCCAAAGGCCTTTAATGGGTGGGAATACCTTCAGAATGATCTCTTCCCTGCTTCCTGGGGATGTGTATCTTGGGAACGATGACATCATCCCCCGTACAGGCTCTAGGGAGTTGGAGCTGGTTCTGCCCTGCCTCTCAGGGGCAGAGTTTGGCATTGTCGCTCATGGGCAGTTTCCTTACAAATAATGAAATTCAAGACTCATTCTTTGCGCAGCAGTTGACACTGCTCAGCTCTTTTTCTCATTTTCTTTCTTTTCTTTTTTTTTTTTTTTTTTTTTTTTTTTTTTTTAGCTAACAAAAAGTTAGAACTAAAAAGGATGACCATGCTGTGAAATTTGGGATAGCAGGATTTGCTTATAGTCCCCAGTGGTTCACCCATCTCTTCATAGTTTGCTATGTGTACATTTGGCTTGCTGGCCCTCTGGTTAGCGGGTGTGCAAGTGAGACTCATTTCTAGTGGGCAGCAGAGACAACAATGGTCAAAGTTTCCTTCCTTGTGGCCAGGCTACAACAGCAGATTTTGCAACACAATCAGCAGCTCCAAAAAGTGAAACAGTGACTCAGAGTCACACACATGGTCTTGTAGCAGCAGCAGCACAGCCAAATGAAAGAGCCCTTCCTGCTTTCCCACGTTCCTCCAACAAAAGTTTTGAAAAGCATCTACTTCAGTCCCTCCCTGGCCACATGCCGGTGTCTCATGCTGCCATTGCTCACTCATGCAGATTCCTTACCCTTTGCAGTGTAACTTTGCTCCCTGCCTCCAAAACTGCTGATAACGCAGCAGAGTAGAATGACGTGCAGGACCCCTCATCACCCCAGCTTGAGAGCGTGGCGCTCCTCTCTGTGCAGGGTCCAGGGCAGGAGCCTGGGTGCACAGTCCCACCTACCCAGTCTCAAAATAGGGCTGCGGCTTCAAGGTGCATCCAGGGAACCTGTAACACAGTTAGATCCTGAAAAATGGCCTTGAGATACGTGTGTGTGAGATCAGGACTGCGCTGGGGCATCTTGGCTGGTGAAGTCTGATACTATTAACTGTGTGGCCATATGGGGAAATGCCACCTCTTTGTAGACCCATACACCTGTAACCACAAGGTCTGACAGACCACACAGGCTGTGACCCTTTGGAAAGCATCTGGTTCAGGACTATTAAAAATTCATTTTCTTCCTCTTTGCTATCTGCTGCTACCTTGCCTTCTGAGCCAGGCAGAAACTGAAAAGACAGAAGAGTGAATCTGCAGTCCTGCTTCCCGGCCTTTGTGACCCACTGGACTGCGCTTAGCAAACAGTTGACTAAAGCCTTTCAGAGAAATCAATGGAAATTATTAAAAAGAATACATTGAGAGTGTACAAAATGCTCTCAAACTATGTTTAAAGAAGATATTGCATTGTTCCATCTAATCTGGCCTAATGGAAGGCTTCATCCCACAGGCATGGGGATTGTGTGCTTTTTCTTTTGGGGAGTTAAGCTGCGGCGTGGCTGTTGCTTTGCTGTGTGGCTGGCAAGGGTGCAGTCCTGGGGGGATGCGGCCCTGGGGGATGTGGCCCTGGGGGGATGCGGCCCTGGGGGATGTGGCCCTGGGGGGATGCGGCCCTGGGGGGATGCGGCCCTGGGGCGATGTGGCCCCAGGCCCCTGCTCAGCAGGAGGCCACCCCACGGCGCCGTGGGGCGAGCGGCCGCCCCAGCAGGCCCCTGCTGCCTGCGCACTGGCGGCCTGCATGGCCCGAGGCCGCGGGGGCTCCGCTCTGCTCACACCAGGGAGCTCCGACCCCAGCGCCAACCTCCGCCACTCACTGACTGCTAAAGCCCCACGGCTGCGTAACTCTTGCGCAGTCATCTGAATCACAAGAGTCCCAGAACGTGTGGCCGTCTCCAGTCTACGTTAACTGAGGGACAGAAGAGTGTTTCGCATCCGCTTCCCCCAGGGTTACCTCTGCTCGCCCTTCCTTTCTGGCCTTGTCGTGGGCATGATGCCACCGAGCTTGTGTCTTCCAAACATGGAATTCAGGTCAGCAGAGAAAAATAGGAGAAACAGCAGCATGAAATGCTTTTCTCTGCTATGCCTGCTGCTACATGCCCAGAAGAGGATCTACCTGGAAAAAGGGTTTGCACCAGAATACTTGCTTACTGCATATATTCTTGTTCAGAAGTCTTCTTATCCATATGCCATCAAACACACATTTATGAACAGAAAAAATATTTGTAATGTGTCTGCAACTCGAGTAAGTGTGTTGTAAGCACGGAGAGTTCTGTATTATTGAGAAAATTAAAATTGGAGCCAGTCTGCTTTATCCTGAATTGTGTTTCAGAAGCTCTGCTCCTAAGCTGGAAAAAGTAGGAAGAAGTTTGAGGGGCAGAATCTGCTGGTGGAACATGCGAGTGTCCACATGCTACACTCGCTTCACCAGGTGCAGTGACGGTGATCAGCACATTCCTTCTGCCAACAGCACAACATTAAAAAAAACACACGATTTGTGAATCTTCTGAGGCTTCCCCTTCATTTCTGCAGTAAGTCAGGATCAATGAATTTTATATACATGTCTTATAATTCTGAAGGTCTATTCTTTGTGGTATTCACCAAATTAAACAAACAACAACAACAAACAGAGTGAAATGACTGAAGAGCGGGAGAGACTTTCCTAAGCATTTATTGTCTAAGTTGCAATTTAAGAGAATTTTCTTTTTTTGGGGGGGGGGGAGGGGGAAGATGTCAGTAATGCCAAGCATGATTTGCAGGAAACCAATCCAGAGCTATCCTGTGACTGTGATTCATTTTCCTGAACCTCATACCATGAAAACTGGAAATGAGGCAACGAGCAGCTTCTGCTATTCAAAGATCCATCACAGTATCCACAAAGTAAAGTTATGCTCCAGGAGCTGCATTATGCGGTAAGTGGAATCAGAGCACTGCCAAGAAATAACATGCTGTTGCAAAAAAAAAAAAAAAACCCAAGATTTGGCAAGTTAACCATGCATCCTCAATGTACATTAGGCACCTGGAGTGCGGGGCAGCTGAGGGGCTACCAGGTATGTTTACAGCTCCACCACAAGCAGTCAGCAACGGCACCTTACTGAGTTAAATCCCAAGGGTTACATGCAAGGCCAGCAGCCTTGCACGAGACAAACGCCTCAGGTCAGTCCACGGATCTCTCAGGATCTGTGGTACCAAGTCTGAATCCTCTGCAGCTGCATTTACGCAAGAAACTTTTCCCATTTAGTTCAGCTCCTGAATGAGCTTATAGGCAGCAGACTAGCAAGAAATGAGGCGAATATTCCCCGGGTGGGCTGCGGAGCGTGGGGCTCTTCAGTGGGCAGCTTTGTGGAACGATGAGATTCTGAACTGGGCAGGGGAGGGCAGACGCCCCTCAGGCTTGGACTCAGCAGCTCTTGCTGCCGACGGAACTTGTAAAAAGCACTTGGCAAAGGCAGACCCGTGATGCCAGGGGAAGGATTTAATAAAGATAAGGTACACAAAGAAAGGACACAGGAAACAGGGACTCCCATCTCCCAGAAAAGCTCTGTGCTGCAGAGGGAGGCTGCACGAGCAGCCATGAGCGAATGAAGAAGCAGCAGCAATGCAGGCTCTCATGGGATGGGAAGATGCTTGATACCAAGAACTGCTGCTGCAGCACGGGCTGCAGTGCAGCACTCACCCCTTCAGTGCACAGAGAGAGCCTGCAGGATTCCCGGTGACAGCACTTGCCCTTTGGCTTTCTGTGTATAAAGACCAAAGAAAAGGTATCCAGTGAACCTCTTTGTCTTGTCATTTGTCTACTTTATTGCAGAACAGTCACCTAATAAAATATAAATAAACATTTTAATCACAAGATCCTACACAGTGCTGAGAGGTGTTTTTAAAGCACTTCAAAAAGTGCTGAGCACTTTAAAAGCGTGGCCCTGCCTCTGCAGACTTGCAGCTGTGAGGAAAGGAGATGTCTGGGCTCCTTTCAGCTACAGAATATGAATGAAAAGGATGCAACAAGCCAACACTTTATTTGTAAAAAATCCTTTAAAATTTTACTACATTGTAAAGATTAGGGAAAAAATAGTATTAATATATATACATACGATATATATATACACAAACACACGTTGCACCATTACATGCTTTTTTAAAAACAAAGAATATTTTCCCTCATATCAATTTTAAAAGTTCACTGCAAGAAATCTTGCTTCCTTTTTCTTCCCCATCCCCATATCTCCAAAGTTTTCAAGTACAGGAAATAAGCAACGCAGGAGCTAACAGTAGAAAACCATTAGTTAAACACGAAGGACAACTGACAGTTCTACAATATTGTTCTGCAGTATCCAACACATGGTGTGTGTGGGTTTTTTTTTTTTTTTTGGATTCTACAATGATAGGAACTTTTACCTGAGGCATATGGAAATAATGAAGTATGACAACTGGCAAGTTTAAAAGATTTTCACATTATAAACTGACTGAAATCAAAGTCGATACCGCACATCTGTACCCACGGTATTGGCACAAAACGCTCTGCATAATAAGTCACCACCAATGTCTTAGAACTGCAGGGAAACAAAGAGATAAGCACCACTTGCAGTGATAAGCATGCAGACAAGTTTAAGTGAAACAGAGGTAGCATCTTCTTATAACTTCAGCAGAGAAATTCAATTCAACTGCAAATCCCCTTTCTGCAAAAGGCACTCGCTTTTTCAGCTATAAACAACATGGTGTTAAATTCAGGCAGCCTAACCATAAAAGTAATTGGATTTCTCTTTAGAAATACTAAAAAAATGTTAAGCTGAGGACATCGTGAAAAGAAAAAAACAGGGTATTAAGAAATACGTATTTCAGGTAATATGTGCTATTTCTCTCCCTCTTCGTTTTTGGAGGAGAACTGATTTTTTTTTTCTTTTTTTTTTAATAAAACATTTTTAATATGTCATTCAAAAGTTAGACGTCCCAGTTAAAATGGCAGTATTAAGCAGCACATAGTATAATTTTGAAATACCAGAAGTACACCAGCCTTTTTAATAGCTAAAATAAAGAGCAACAATTCACAGTTAAAAGTAGAAAGATTCTACACAAAAAGGTGGTGCAGAAGAAGGATAAAGCCCCTTTGATGTAATATACCATAACTGAAAGTGGAAAGAGCCTCCTATACTGTATCCTTTATCCTTTCTGCAGTTTAAAAAGATACTGTCCATGCAAAACACCTGCTCTTATCGCGACACAACAGAGCTAATCGAATTGTAAGATGTGCCACTGTTGCAACTTGATGCGTAAGCCTCCTGCCCATTAGCATCTAAATTTATTTTGAATATAGGGGATGCCTTCAGTAAAAAGTCTGCTGCATCCCTCCGACCCAATTCCCTCAGTTTGGACATTAGGATACCTACAGTGCTCTCCGGAGCATTGCTCCATTCCTGCAGGAGGGCATGGACTGGGCTCGAGATAAAGTCATTTTGTGTTCCATTATTTATATTGTATTTTGCAACAAGATCAGGGAGGCCTAGGTTCATGGCCAGAAGGCACCAATCTTTGCCCATGGGATCAGGCGGATCTAAAAGTCGGCTTAGTTTTCTCCTAGTAAGTAGATTCAGATCTGAAATGTGAATATCCATTCCTAAACTTCCCTGGGAGTAGACATCAAGACACCCAAAACACAGTATGCTACTAAAGCTTTCTTTATATCCCCCCATCGTGTTAGTTAACGATGTCTCCTTTTGACTTTGTGCACGGAAAAAGTCTCTAGGCTGGTAGACCATTACTGGTTCGTGATGCTCCCTCAGCTGCTGAGGGCTAAGGTAGTATTTCACAGTCAGGAGGCCTGGCAAGGTTGTGGCCATTAAATTATCAATGGTGCTGCATACAGAATCCAGAAGTAAACAGCACTTGATCTTCTCTGTTTCCAGTCCTCTAACTTGAACCTCTATACCCTGACCATGGTTGACTAACAACACTAAAAGCTCGGCTCCACGATTCATAATTTTTGATCCATTTACCCACAGACGTATATCAGCATCTCCCTCTGTGCTTTGCTGATGAATCCACCTGCAGAGATTTACTTGAACTTTATGAAAAATTCCACAAGGAAACGGTGTAAGGTGTTCCACAGGAACGATTCTAACACCACCATAAATCAGCACCTCGTCCTCCTCATCTGTCCAAGACCTGTGAAGATTGTCGGTCTTGATGAGAGCAGGAATATCCACCATTGCTCCACTGCTGAGATCTCTTGCACAAATATCCATGGCATCTAAAATCTGTATCAGTTCTTCCACGTCACTATCTGTCACCAGACGCTGGATGTCCTCTATAGTGTATCGACCTCTATAGTGATGTAGGGCTTTCGGGTTTTCCACTGACAGGATTTTTCCAAGGACATTTGTGCAGAGCCAGCGGGGATCCAGAAGCACAACATCTTGGACAGTTTCACTCTGCATAATGTTTATCTGTATGAAAAAGGTGAAAGTTATAATCTCTCTCCTGTGAAGAACAAGCCCCAACATTCCGCTTTCGTAATCTGTTGACTAGATCACTTAGTTAAGACTTCTGACAAAAGAATAATAAATGGTATAGTTTGATTTTTGCAAATATTCAGAACAAACACTACATCTGTTTCTTGGCCCTATTCAGAACAAAGCCATTAAAACACAACAGCAGCAGAGCCTGACTGCAGGCTGTTTACACGAAGGTGTTCTCCTATGATTCAGTTTCCAATGGTCACACAGAAGTTCCTCATTTGCAGTAAACACATTAAGCACTCCCTCATTTTAAGATTAGAGTATACTTAAGCCTTTATTGGCATTATGCTACTATAATTACAGCAATAAATGTAATTTTAATATAGTAATAAATGTAACTCTTCTTCTCCCAAAGAAATGGTGTTGAATGAACTTACAAGAAGACATAAAACCAATTATTAACTGATTATTAACTAGTCTCTACTTTGCAGGATATCTTCAAAGAGGCAACAGGAAAAAAAGGAAATTTTAAATAAATTTGCCAATTTTAAATAAATTTGCCAACTTACTTCTCCTATGCTATGCAACTGCTGTGCAATATGCCGTAGATCATCTTCACTTGCCAGGGGATTAAGCTGCTCCTGTACGTCATATACAAACTGCTGCAAGGACATCAGCTGGTTGGGACCATTCATTTTTCGCCACGAAGGGAGTGTGGAGATTATTTTTTCACACAGATGAGTCATAGGTGGGCATGTCTTATGAAAGTAGAGAAAATATCTATTTGTAACATTTGTAAATGTACTGCATTTTTGTCAGTTGTTTTTAAGTCACTGATACCTTAATTCTTTCAAGCCACAGACTGCACTTACAATGCAAGGAAAATTTCCCGAAGCAGAAAAACGAAAACATACTATATTGAAAGACTCTTGTGGGCATAAAATAGGCTGTAGTTCACTTAAAATAAAGCACTTCCACCAAATTTAGGGGTGAACTTTGAAGTTTTTTTTTTAGTTTGTTAAAAAACACGTCAGAAGAAGCTGCAGAACTTCTGGCTGGTGTGTCAAACAAGTATGACTCCAGAGTGAAGAATTTAAATTGATTTCCCAGAAGGTACATAATAACCCGAATCAGTCACCCTCGTTGTGGAAGTCTCTTTGGAAGCGCGGTGAGGACACCAAGCCTCACCGATTTTGCCTTCAGTTAGCTGAAAACTGCGAGCATATGTTTGGGTAAAAGGATCAAATAAAAATGGTAACATATACTCAAGTCCACATATCTATATGAAGAATTACATTTATAATGTTTAAGGAAACTTTTATTCTCTTTTCTTTTCCCTTTCCCCCCCCCTTTTTTTTAATGAAAAACTTACCTGCATTTAATGTAATTGGTTTCTCTCTAATACTATTTTGACAATAAAGGGGGAAAAAAATAAAACATGCGAATGCTAAAATCCAAACAACATCAATTCAGAATAGGAAATTAGAGCTTTAAATTGAAAAGCTCCAATACTTCTGAAGAGAGTATCATATTCTGAAGAGACTTGTACAAAACATGCACAATTTTGAAAAATGCTGACTCAATACTCAGAGTGAAAATTCAAACGGAACTTCTTTCCCTGAGTTTTATAACGTAAATCTACCGTAACTTCTTATCCTAGATTTACACATTTTGGCTGGTCCAATCTATGCTATCAGATATTACTTACAGAAATTATCTGGCTTCTTATTTCTTGCAGGTGATTTCTGAGAAGCTTCATATCTTTAGACCCTGATGCACCAGCATCCAAGACAAATAACTTGTCTGAGATTTGTAGATCATTTCCAAACCTAAAAAAGACAGCAATTATCTACTGCTTTTATTTCCCAAATCTATTTTTACTTCTTAATTCTGCTGCATATGACAGCCTTACATTACACAACATTTTCTCCAAGAAATGTTGAAATAATTCTAGGAAATTATTAACTATATAAAGATATTTTATAAACAAAGCAGCATATAGGCACTTTTTATTTTCTTGAAGATACTCAGGGCTGTTTAGAGAAAATTATTGTAGTTCCTCAAAACTAATACTAGGAAGATGGCTGAAGATACGTAAGAAAATCACACTTGACTCATAACATACATGTCACTACAGGGAGAACTATAAGAACCTTTTTTTTTTTTTAGAACATCTTCTAAATTGCTCTTTTGTTTCTTCTAATTTTAAATAGTTCAGTTCTGACCTATATTTACACCAGCTCTTTCAGCGCTTCCTTTTATCTTCTAAACACACCTATTTCTTTTCCTAAATCTGCTATGATTCACATTTAACAGGATCTGAACACCAAAGAGTACACCCAGACATTTTGTTTAGTTTCAGTGGAGAGGAACATTGTCCTATCACTGAATTCCTATAGACTTATATCAATTTTCTGTATACTCCAGAAGGGAGTATATCTTCAAATGCACAGATGACTCCTCGTACTGTGTGGTACCCTCTTAAGACCTCACTGCACTGCACTGCACTGCATTTCAAGTATTCTTCCTTGAAATAACAGGATTAGCTCATGAAAATTCCTGCCTTCAATCTGCAAGTAGTGTGCCATCTAACTATTTGTTTAGAAAAACTAAACTCTTCCAAATTTCTAGTTATGTTGGCTGACTTTCTCACCTGTATGTTTCAATAACATCAACAGTGTTATCCAGCTCTTCTGAAACTGCATATTAAGTACCTCCAGGTATGGAGTTTGTCTCCAGTTTGCCTCCTACCCATCCTAAATTAATTCAGGAGGAAAGCGTGGCACTTCTGTGAAGTTTGCTCCTATGTACCTGGCAATGGTGGCTCAAAAATTCCTCATCTTCTGAGACCAAGGGAAAACCTACATCAGATGTTAGCCAGATTGTTGATATTGGCCTTTCGATGAATCTGAATGTAGAGGGGTAAGACTTCCTGAGTCTCACTGATCTGAAGCATCACTTGCTCACTTTAGGCTCCTTACGTCAGCTCGTTCAAGGCAGGTCACTCCATGTAGTATTGGCATATATTTCATTTCCCGCATAAAACAAGCTTCCTTATTTTCAGTAAACGAAAACCTCAGAGGCAGAGTACGGCACTTCCACATATCTAAGTATGTTCCTCTCTTACCTATTTCTGATTTCTTTTAGCAATGACATGTCTTTGTCATATGCAAATTCTCCAGCAGGCCGAGGAAGATTCACTATGTCAGCATGTGTGGCGACCAAAACAACACGCAGTGGAGTTTTCAGCTTTCCAGCAAATGCTAGATGAAAAATAAGAGCATCTTTATTAGGAGACAGGCCTACGAAGACAGCTCTCTTACTGAGCCAGGAAATTACCAATGCATGTTATGTTTTTGGTATACCAATCACTCTGCAGTGGATCCATGAACTTTAAGTACAACTCTCTCTATATATCTACACAATTGAATGACTGTCTGTCTGTACTACTGTCTATATTATGTCCACTTCTAAAATCTGACCTCTCTGAATAACATCAGAAACAGTGATATTATATTACTTTATTGCAACAGGATAAAGCATGAACTAATAACACGATATATCTACTAACTAGAGACCATAATAATGTGAAAAGAATTATATTCATAAGGACTTTGGAAATAATTTCTCTTTATTTTTGAATGGTCTTTAGAACCACAAGTGCAACTCAGAAGATTATAATTAGAACTTAAAAGATCTACAACATTCATACATTGGTATGAATGCTATTTCACAGTACTTACACAGACAATGAACTCTCACCTAGGTGAGAGTAAGTAGGAAAGCCTGGAGATACCATGAAAAAGAGTGAGAAAGAAAGACAGAAATGGAACATGAATGAAGTGACGGTATGGAACACACAGCTAATCAACTAATCTTTCAGACTAATCTTCCAGAAAGAAGAGACAATATTAGACTAAAATTTGACATTAAAAAAAAAAAAAAAAAAAAAAAAAGAATTACATCCAATACAGCTGTTCTTTCTGGAAAAGCTTTGTATGGGAGAAATATGTAAGTGCTGACTTTTCATCAAGAACTACAGAAACTTGATTCATATATAACCAATTTTTCCTCAAACTGAGTATACTAAGATAAATATTTTGCTGTTCTAGAATATGAACCAATTCTATAATATGAACCAATATAAATACTGATTTAAGCAAAATATCTGAATTATTAGATCATCAAGAATAAATAAGTTAAATCCCGATTCAGCCAAACTAAGGACTAAACTTCTTTGCTAAAAAGTTTTCAGCAATTGCAATATGTCTTTTCAATTTTGATATTCTTTAACTATTTGAGCTTCTATTTCCAGAAATACTTGCCAATCAGCTAGATCTGAAAACTTATATTATTAACTTTGAGCTTTTATCTAAAATGGAAAATAAAAATGTGCATATGCCAAAATCGAAAACTGCAAGCCTGCTTTTTAGCTCATCAATGTCACCTGTCAGTCTGAGATAACACATACTGAATTAACTAGACCAACAAAAAGAAAGAAGAAACACTTCCTGCACTGTCTTAAGTATTTTGATATGTTGCTTGGTGAGTATCTAGCAGCTCTAAGTTTTCTGTGTCTAACTAGATTCATGGGAGAGTCAAGACACATGTCAGAGCTTGCTTTATTTCTGTCAAACAGTCAGAGTGTGCAGAATAATCTTCAGTTCCAAATGTCGCACACATTACAGTATACAGCATATTTGTTTGCCTAACTTTCAGTAGTTAGGAAGCTTGAGCAATCTCTCTAATATCTTTGTCAAGTCCTGTGTAAAATAACAAGGGAACATTACTAGAAATACTGTTTTTTATCCATCCTGATGTGCCAAAGGTCCAAAGAGAACTCTAGCTAATGGCAAAAATGGCATGTGCTAACAGACAATATCACTCTTGAGCACTGTTCAGCCTTCTCTGTGTTGACAAGCATACTCATGCTGGAAACACCTTTAATTACAATTAGATATGTGGTATTTAAGAAATGTGCCTAGAATTTATATTCTAGGTTTCAATATTCTGAAACACTTGGCAGTTTTTCTACACAGGTTATGTGAAACAAAAACTTTAATGGCATGCCACAAGAGGCTGCATTTGCATTTCATTTTCCATTTTAGTTGGATGAGTTGATACATATACTCTGTAAGGCTTGTTCCACAGAGATAAACTTCCCTTTCACACAAAAACCCTGTACAAAGTTGATTTAAATACAAGGTGATAACAATACATAGCACAGAGAATTTGCAAAGTTACAGAGAAACACAAGCAAGCCCCCTAATGATTCATTAACAGACAGAATAGCATACCTATTGGTTCCTCAGCTGGGACTAAGGATTTTAGGAAATTAAGCCAAAAGGTCACTTGGTTTAACTGGATTTCATAAGGCTCCTCGAGGCTAAAAAGCACTATGTGAATTGTGGTGGGATCATTTGCAGCGAAATAATCGTAGCAGCAGAAATACACAGGATTCCCAGAGAATTCCCAGATGCTGAAATCACCAACTCCTATAAAAAAGACAAACATATGAAGAGATGACACTTCTTCTGCAAGCATAAAGCATCTTTCAGATATGAGGAAACAAACCAAGCAGTTACTATGATATAAATTTTAATGAAGGTAAATTGTATTGTGAGAAAGTAATACCATAAATGCAATCATGAACAAACAAAACAAGTCTCAGAAACAGAAAAGTTGTGTCTTCACAGTCTGTTCCTCTTTCACATTCACTTCTCTAGGACATTTCCACTGGATGCCACCTGTGTGTTAAACTAATGCTGTGCTATATATTGAATACAAGGCCTTTACCTTGCTAAAAACCTATGGATCTTGAATTCTTTCTGATAAACGAGAATGTTCCCGTTCTCTTCTTATTCCCACAAAATATCCGTTCAGCATACTCATGATTTTTTCTTCCTAATTAAGGAAGACTAGATTAGACAACACTAGATTAAAAAGAGCTGATTGATATTCTCAAAGAGCCCACTGTGCCTAAACAAACAAACAAAAACATATAATAAACCCACACTACACTATTTACATCACATAGCTAAGTTGGGACTAAAGAATCACCATATTAAGGATCCTAGAACTACGGTTCTTCCTTCTGCCATCTACTTTAGCTTCAGGTGAGAACAGCATAAGCACCAGTATTAGCACCCTCAAGGCATACATAGTAGTCACCTCCATAACAACAGAAGAGCTATTGAGTTTCCTGTAGGACAGATGCTTCCTCTCCACTATTTATCTCCAGAGAATTTCTATGTGGCATTATAAAGATTCGACACAAGTGATTACTAGATACATGGCAAGTAGAGCATATTTCACGTACACATATTTCTGTTGTGTTTTACTTCTGCCATGTTTAATCTGCAACCACAGTCAGAATCACATGAAATCAAGGTGGGTTTTGCTTGTTTGTTTTTAAAGCAAGAGACAGGATAATTCTGCAAAGTCTTGCAGGATTAAGGCACTGCTTACCATTCAAGTTGGCATTCTGAATGTCAATGGCCTTGGTGGACTGGTCATCAGCAGAGAAGTGCGAGTGATGCGCCGGAGAGACAAAAGCTTCCAACACCCCTTTGGTCAGGCCTGGCTCGAACATCATGCTGCGGCTTCTCACACTAACATTCTCACAGCCAGGATAAAGATTTGAAATGCTTACTGAAACTGTGTCAGGGAAAGGAAATCGAGATTACACACCAGGGGAAAAATTACAACTGTATCACTTCAAAATAAGTATACCAGGCATAAAATCTCATTAAAAAATAAACTGTTTCTTCAAAGAGAGTGGAGGATTACCAAGCTGTGAGCACATGCTGCTACATCCTTATTCTAAACGCTGAAAAGGAAAATAGAATGATCCCTTATAGCACTCCTAATCCTTGGTACATCTACTGTGGGTGTGGAGAGCATCCCCTTCTGGAGAAGCAATAGGGGAAAACCAGGTCCTTCACTGAAACAATTTGTTTAGTTTACATTTAACTGAGATTCTGGAAGAGCAATTTTGAAAGGATGGGACTTTTTTTTTTTTTTTAATTAACTAACACCATCTAGTGGAGAAAGGAAATATTTATTTCATCACTCCACTGGATGTCAATTCACTACTCATGTGTAACTATCCTTTTGTATTTGACCCTCATATAATATTTCAATCCTTATGGTGACATATATTCATAAATGCTGAATTCAAGAATTGATCTTCACAGACTTTAAGCAAATGCATGGTCATGTATGTATTCACTGAATTATACTGAGTTTTAAAATGGCCATCTGATCAAGCCACTCTATAATATTCATCAAAAACTCCAGATATTGAAATAAAATCTTGTTTGATTGTCAGTTCACCACCTCATAGTGGTGTGACATTTCAACTCTACACTTTAGCTTTTTATGTTTGGCAACATATAAAAAAAATGTTTTCAAGCAAAACTTTCCTGCAATACCTCCAGAACTGCTACTCCTTGAGTAATTTACTGCTCCTGCATGACACTGTAAGTTAGGATACCTAAGCAAAGAAATTCTCATTGATTAATTTAATAATTCTCAGAGTCCCAGGTAACAGTAGAACAGCAAGAGCTTAACTGTGTTATGAACTGTCACCTATTAACCTGTACTGCCATTACTTAAAAATAATGACGGAAGGTAGAACCACAAATGTTAGGATTTTTCTTTCTAAAAGGAAAGCTTTGAGCCTATCTAAAATATATTAGATTATATTAATTCATAGAATCACAGAATTGTTGAGGTTGGAAGGGACCTCTGGAGATCACCTAGTCTAACCCCACTGCTCCAGCAGGGACACCCAGAGCACAGGGCGGCATCCAGGCAGGTTTGGGAGATCTCCAGGGAAGGAGACTCCACAGCCTCCCTGGGCAGCCTGTGCCAGGGCTCTGTCACCCTCACAGGAAAGAAGTTCCTCCTCACATGGAGACGGAACTGCCTGTGTTTCAACTTGTACCCATTGCCCCTTGTCCTATAACTGGCTGCCACTGAGAAGAGCTTGGCCCCTTCCTCCCTACGTTCCCCCTTCATGTACTTGTACATGGACATGTACATGTACATTAGTCAGATCCCCTCCCAGCCTTCCCTTCTCCAGGCTAAACAGGCCCAACTCACTCAGTCTCTCCTCATATGAGAGAGTCCTTTAATCATCTTCACAGCTCTACACTAGACCCTCTCTAGAAGCTCCACGTCCCTCTTGTCCTGGGGAGCCCAGAACTGCCCCCAATGCTCCAGGTTTGGCCTCCCCAGAGCTGAGCAGAGGGGCAGGATCCCCTCCCTCCACCTGCTGCCAACATCCTCCTGATGCAGCCAGGAGCCCATTGGCCTTCTTGGCCACGAGGGCACTGCTGCCTCATGGGTAACTTGGTGTCCACCAGGACTCCCAGGTCCCTCTCCATGGAGCTGCTCTCCAGGTCCCTCTGCCTGGCAGCAGAATTCAATACAGCATTTTTCACTTCAGATCTTCAAAGTGCCTGCATAGCAAGTATACTCTGCACAACACTTCTATTTTAGAAAAGGGACCTCAATAAATAACTTTCTATTCTTCATGTTTTTTTTTTTTTCCCTACTACTACATGTTTTCCAAAAGAGGTCACATTAATCCGAGGTACTTCCTCAGCATCCTATGGCTCTTCGCACCTCACATGCGTCAGCCAGTGTTTCATGATCAAGGTTTACCTACTATTTTAACAAATTAACCTAAGTTTAGCAAAGTTCCATTTCATCTTTAACTTGGAGCCAATTCTAGACACTTTTAACTTGGGAAAATCACTTCTGTACCTTCAGCTAGAAGTATTCCAAATTCAACAGCAGTTCTGAATCTTTTGTTATTATTTAAATATTCTTGCTATATAAAGATGCAGTAACTGTTTTCAGTCTTGCACAGAATCTATTTAGGCTTCTCAATCAAAAAGGCAGACAAAACTACCATAAAATATGAAGATGAAATCTGGTCACGACACCAATGCTTTCAGTCTAGGACTTTCTGGCAAATATAAATGCAAGTGCCCAAAACTTGTATTTGGCCTCTACGAAGTTTACTTACACACTGTATGAGTGAATAAAAGGTTAAGTATTCTTACAGTCCTCATATTGCTCACAATGCTTCTCTTAGCTCTTACTTTAGGCATGAGGCATAGAGAACTAAATATCCCCTCCTTTGCTATTATTTCTTGCACATTTAGCCCGATCTTGCCTTTCACAGCACAGACAATAGCTTTTACTTTACAATTTATGAAGACTATGAGAAAATTGTTTTCTTTTTCAAATGCTTCAAAGCCATACCTGAGGGTTTGGAAGACAAAGGAGATGGTGGGAATCTGGATGAATTTGTGGAGGAAAGCCTAGGCCTACGCCTTCGAAAAAAGCTTCTTAGGAGGCCGCACTTGAGAGACTCCACAAGGGTCGTCTTCCCAGAGCCAGAATGTCCGAACAGCTTCAGTTTGATCCTGGGCTGTGGATTCTGCGTGTGTCGGAGCTGTTGAATAAAAAGCCCTCTGTGCGCATCCTAAAATTCAGCACAAACAAGAAATCAGAATCTATGGCAAGAAACTTCTGTCTCCCTGTAAACTGAAGATAATGTTTCTTGTCAGTTAAGTGTTCATCTAGATTGCTTCATCATGCAAGAACACAACTACAGACAGAAATACAGGGATATATGGCCATGATAGTTGGATGGCATCTCTCAAGAGCCACCTGAGTACTCATGAAAACCACATTTTACAACTGAACTTTGTTATGAGGCTATACATCAGTGACTGTAAACATTCTGACTTATAACTGAGAGAACAAAGAAGGAAAAATTAACTTCTTTCAGTATTCTTTCCCCCTTGCAATGAGACCCATCATCACCATCATGATTCTGTAAGCTTATATTTACTATCTGTAAGTTTATATAACATAAACAGTATTGAAGAATTCTGCAATGAGAGCCAAAATTGTGCTGTATTCTCTAATTTCCCCTCTCCCCTAGTATGAACAGTGGTTTTCATAGTTGATTCTTATGTTTTCTCTTCCTAAACACTTATTCTTTCTATCTTTTCTTACCTTAAAAGGTTTCCCACATACTATTCCATCTTCCTTCCCTCAACTGCAAGTCTGTGTCTTCTACATTTGTTCCACAGAAGAATAACTGGAAGGCATCTCTGGAGATCATTTGGTCTGAATTCCCTGCTCAAGCCGGATAAGCTACAGCAGCTTGCCCAGGACCAAGTCCAGTTGGGTACTGAACATCTCCAAAGATAGAGACTCTACATTCTCTCTGGGCAGGCTGTTTCAGTCCTCTGTTATCCTCACAGTAAAGAACTGTTTTCTTAGCTGAGACACTACTTCCTGTGTTTCAGTTTGCATCCTTTTCCTCTTGTCCCAGGCCTCAATTTATCTGCTTCTCTACTTGATTCCCCTTTCATTGTTTGCCCTTTGGGTGGATTCATTGACTCCCACACAGCTGCAAATTCACTCTCAGAAGCAAAGCCTTCCTCAAACCCAGTTGTATCTCCCTCATGAGAGCTTTCATCTTTGAGCTTACTCATTACAGCTTTTTATCTTAGTTTTTTGGTGCCTGAAGAATACTCCTTCTTCCTGCCAAGAACAGAGTCTGGAATGAACTAATCAAATCTGTCCTGTTCTCTTCTCCCAGCAGGAAGCAATCAAGCATAGATGCTCTGCTATTCCCCACACAAGCTTAAACTAAAATTCAACTCAGCAATAGAATGCAGTGCAGAAGAGCAAATTAATGTGTTCTGCACCTTAGAAAGACCTGCTTTAAGAAAATAGAGAGGCAGTAGAAAAGTAGAGGGCTGATGGAACTGTTTTTCCCATCAGCATCTGGGGAGAACAGCTCTACTGTTCTGCATTTTTTCTGAGCTTAACATGTAGGGCAAGTCATTAAAAGAACACCTACAGTTCAAAAAACAGCACTTACTATCCAATCAGCAATTTGGTTGAGAAATTGGACAGCAGGTAATAGTGCATCTAATTTAGATCCTTAGCTCCTAACAGGCATTAAACATAAAAAAAAAGCAACATGCATTGAATCAGTTCATCACAATGCAAATATTGCATTCTGTTTACCCATTGCTAATGTTGAAATCCCCTTAAAAGCACTAAGACAGTAAATTTTTCATGTGTGTATTATGAGAAGCACCTCCCATGCTTTGAATATTAAACCACTGTCCAGTGCATTCTATATGATATTGTCTGAGTAGTACTGCAACCTTTCAGTAGTTCTTCCTACCTCCTTCAGTTGTATCTTCTCCCTTTGTTCCAGGTTGATTTATTTGATTTGTATTTATTTCATACATTATAACTAAAAACCAACTTTTTACAATTGCATGTAGAAACAGGCAAAAGTTTGGTAAGGGGAAAATCTATGCAAAACTATGGATGCTGTTATGACAAAAGTATACAGAAGTTATCATTGCGAGTAAACCTTGAACTCTGGTACTTAGTGACATTCTAAATGATTTATTTCACACAGAATCCCAGAGTGGCTGAGGTTGGCAGGGACCTCTAGAAAACCTCTAGTCCAACGCCCTGCTCCAGTAGGGACACCCAGAGCACGGGGCACAGGGCGGCATCCCGGTGGGTTTGGAAGACCTCCAGAGAAGGAGACTCCACAGCCTCCCTGGGCAGCCTGTGCCAGGGCTCTGGCACCCTCACAGGGAAGAAGTTCCTCCTCACATGGAGATGGAGCTGCCTGTGTTCACAATCCTAGCAAGTATATATTTACTGGAAGGACTGAAAAACATAATGGAACTTCATAACTACTTGAACTTGATAAATGCCTGGCATATGTCATCCTATATTCGTACTCTTAAATTTGTCATAAAGCACCATGGGCACTTATTTCAGATATCCAAATACTTGTCAGCCTAATTAAAAGCACTCTCTAAGTGGTCTAACTGTTGCCTGGAAGCTCCAGGCAAGTGGTCTCTGCACCCTCATTGCATGAAGGTTAGTTCCTGTGCAGAATAATCAAGGCATATTTGATGTGTCAGACTTCCTGAACATGGCCAGATCAGCTTTGTATTCTCGTTGTTAGGGAATTTCAAGAAATCAAATTTGCATGATTAAAATAAAATTTAAAAAAGGACAATGAGACAAGCAATTGTTTCATATATGCAGTACTAGATATCTGGGTAGGGGCAAAACCTTCCATATTTCATTATCCTAGTCTGCCTAAAGTGATGATGGTGGAGAAAAAGTCATTTGATAAAGAAAGTAATCTTATTTGTTTTCTGAGATGCACCAAGATATATTTTTCTTCTTTCAAGTTTCTTTAAAATTCATTAGAAGCAAAATAGCATTATTACATATTGTCTGAGACTGGATAAGATGAAACAGCAGACCAACAAATTGGCCTAGAGTACCCACTTTTACTAATATGCACATAGCCTTAACTGAGGAGACCATTTAAAATAAAAAATATAAATAACAAAATCAGTAATTTTTTTTGCAATAGAGCTTTTTAGAATGGTTTTGATAAATTTCTGATATTATTTCCCACAGTCAAACCTCCCTTGCTATCTTTTAAAAAAATGTAAAACTTCAGTTATGCATCCCCAACCTTTTTGAGTCTTGCAAGCAGACCAGCTACATGTTCATGTTGCTCTGCTCTGGCAAGATCTTCTGCTGTTTTCCCATCCTGTTAAAAGACAAACTATTAGCTGCAGTTCTTTCCTTTTATTCATAAAACAAAACACACACACACACACATACACACACTCGTTGTGTTGCTCACCTCTGTTCAATGAAATAACAGAGTAATTGCTGTCAAATACAAATGGATTGATTGAAGGGAAAAAAATAAACCAACCAAAATTGTCTTTGCTGGAATCCTTGTTCTGCTAAATTGACAAAAAAAAAGTTAGAACAAAGTGAAGAAGAGCAGCATTTAGTTTGTGAATTGGCATCTGGGTGCCACTATAACAAGGTACTTGATTTCAGACGCTTAGAGCAATGTCAGCATTTCCCTTCTAAATTCCTCTTCTTTCCTCACTGATCAATCAGTGGTTGATAGCCATTTCTAGATACTACGTATTAACCTGATCTAAAAGTTTAGAATTTTCACAAAGAGTACATAAAACAGAATACTCATTCACACAAAGGTGAATTCTGTTTAGTTACAGATAAAGAATCACACTGGCAAATCTGTCACTGGATCAAGGTTTATAAAAAACACAGTATACAGTATACAAAAATAGTATAAAGCTTTTAGTTTAAATTGCTTCATCAAATTTAAAATGATAAACAAAACTGTCTTTAGCATTCTAGTCCTAACATTTAAGTACTTGTGCTTCATATGTCAGCAGTTTAATATAAAAGCTGAAAGAAGAAACAGGTACTACTTTTACAACTCCATTAATGTTATATCGTTTTGTTTTATACTTTGGTAATAGATAACTGATCTACAAGCATCTTACTTCTGCTTTCTCCTAAATAAGAGTTTTCATGTACAAAAGTAAGTACTGAAAAATTAAGTTTCCTTTTTGAGTTTTTATCTATGATTTTATGATTTTCATATGAAATCAAAAGTATCTTAAAATATCAGAAAAAAATAGAAGTATCTTATTTTTGCGAAATAATTTTACTTAGAAAAATTTCACAAAATAGAAGCATCTTGTCTTTTGCTGATCCTATCCCTCCAAATTCTACACATCACACACGAACTCCGAGCGCCTGTTCTAAGAGGGAAAGAACAGTTCAGTGTTGGGGAAATTACACTGTCATCAAGGAAACTTCATGCTCCTGATGTTTCCTGCGTTTCTAGTCTTTTGCATATCTTGGGAAATTCAACAATCTGCAGATAAATGGGAAACCTTGATCCCCTTCACGAGAATCCTTATGGTGACCTGCACCAACCTAACATTGGTGGCTTTCATTCAAATCCTCAAATCCTTGCTCTCTCTGTTGGTTCAAAGCATGACTATTGCTTGACCTTGCACTTTTCCAGAGCCCATCATTTTATTCATACAACACATACTTGGAAAACGTCTGACAAACTATGGCATGAAGTATACTTGTCGTATCTCATGTATGTCATATCCCATGACAAATCCATGCAGATGCCTTTTACCTTCAGGAATGAGAAAGGAATTCTAAATTCCTTTCAGAACCAGAACAAGCCCTACACCTTTCATTGGGCACACTGGGATTGCAATGCCATGGCCTGGAAACCTGGTTATCACATAGTTATGGAGAGCTGGAGATGACCATTCCTGAAACTTTTCAAATGGCAACAAGAATGATTTGCTCTGGTATAAGTCTAAATAAACAGGAGTACAGAGCAAGCCTTCTTATAGCAGAGATATCACTCTCAGATCACGAGGCTTACTCCTCACTTTCTAAGGGTTTTACAAGTTCAAGATCAGCTCTCTGATGTAGCATACTTGTTTGATCACTGTTGTGATCAAACTGTTGTGAAGTAAGAACTGAAAAGCAGTCCTCATTAAGAGCTTCCCCTCCATTCTTTTCACCCAAGAGTAGTGTTTGAGCTGAGGTACACGTCTTTGGTCCTTGCCTGAGCAACACCATAGCTACGCTTGTGTGTGGCCGTGTACCCCACTGACCCCCTTGGAATTTACCATGTTATTCTCATCTGACCCAATCCTGACCTGACTTTCTGATTTGGACCTACCTGATTGCTCTGGACTTGCCTGATGACACAGACTTTTGTTTGAAGCCAGTTACAGTTATTAGACTTGCTCTGCTCTCCTCATTTGGGTGCTACAGGACCATACCCTCGTTGATGAACTCATCTTCCCTGCTTGCCTTGTCATTACTCTTAGTCCCTTGCTCAAATTCCCTTACAGAGTTGTTTGCCCTTGCTAAAGCATAATTCCCTGACAGCAGCTATAGATAGTTAGCACCAAATTCAGCAGGTAGAAATGCAGATCAAAACTACCTGAAAAAAAAAGGATTTTGAGATATTTAACTAACAAGTGCCAATATTTTTTTTTTTTACCCATTTTTCCAAGAGTATTTTGACTCAGATCTGGAAGCCAAATTTATTGATTAATAGGCAAACTAAGTGCCTCTCATAAAAAAAGATTTTCTTTTTTGTACAGCTCTGAACTAGATTAGGCTGTTCAATTTTCTGGATGTCAACTGCAGCATGAATTGCAGAGCACAACAAGAATAAGAAAATACATCTCAAACCAAACAGAAAATGAGTTTTGGTAACTTTTTTTTCCTACTTAGGTTTTCTTGAGAAGCACCGAAAAAGGATTTAGATACTAGAATAGCAATGGCTTGTAAGGCTTGTATGTAAGTTATAAAAATGTAGGTATATCTATATAAAATGTATATATAATATATGCTTTAAAATAGTAACATAATTTACACAAATATATGTTTAATAGACTTAATGTATATAAATTTAATATTTATATATAGAAATTATACATAATATATTAAATTGTAGATGCTATTTGTTATATTATTAATATATATAAATATAGAATTGATATATATGAAATATAAACAGACTATCTATATATCCTCCTCTATCTATATATCCTCAATTTAACTGGCCAATTGCAAGCATCATTCTTCAACGATTCTGGGCAATCTGACAATTTCAAGCTCAGTAAAATGATATAAACTTCCGTGATAACATGGCAACATTGTGCCAGCAAGCACATGACCACACAGGACATTTTGAAGGATATTTAAAAACTGAAAACACACAAAGTATAGGTGGCTGTCTAAAGTTGCTGAACAGTATGTGTGCAATTAAATTCAAATTTAAACTAGTAACCATGGGTGGGGGCAGAGAAATCACATTCCAGTCCGAAGTTATTTAACAATGTTGACAATAGTGAACTGAGAAATTCTGAGAGAAGAAAAATGCAACTGATTTTACTACAGTGATTCAAAAAGACTTTTCAGAACAGTTTAATATTCCCCTAGCAAACTAATGTAGAACTGAAGTGTTACGAAAATCACTAGACTCACTTTCCTTCTCTCTTCTTCTTAGTGCTGCAACTCAGCTGCAATAATTGTCACTAATGTATAATCAGTCTGTTTCTCCTGCCAGATTTAGTACCACTGCATTTTAGTTTGTCATCTCCTTCCAACTGATATAAGCCAATGAGAGTAAAAGTACTTTCATCTTGAAAGGAGAGGATCTACATGCTAATTATGTCAACATACCCATAACGACATAAACAAACTGGCACAGTTCTGCTCATGAATTTCTCCTTTTGTTCACAATCCTTTTGTTACATCTTATCTCTATTTATCAGTGAAAATATAAATACAGAATGGGATGTATCAGAAAAAAAAATGTGAAGAAGCAAAAGCTGTAAAAGGCACCAGTAAGTCCAGTTTATGCATATTTCATTACTTAATAAGAAGGAATAGGGTAATTTACAATCCAGTAGTTTGTAGAATTTAGCTTCCAGATGCAAAACTTCTTTAGCTCATAATTTAAGTTCAGTGGTTTTAAGGACTACTTTTTAAAGGTTTTTCCCTGACACAGGAGATATATTTTAAGATAAAATAAAAGACCGTAAAACTGATTTAAGTGCTATCAAGTTCATACAACCAATGAAACACAGCATTTTTTTCTCCCTTTTCTCCTTCATTTCAGCACTCTGGGGGTTACTTTTTATGGAGAACAACTTTGGAAAACATGAACTCAGCTAAATCTAAAACACAATATAATCTCAAGATAAAGAACAACAGTTATATCTGTGTAGGAAGCATTGATTAGGGCAGGTATCAAAGTAAACGGATCCAGTTCTTCTGCAAATAAGGGGTGGTTAGTTTGTTTAAAACACAGGTAACCTTGTATATGATGCCCAGTTGTCCTCCATCCCCCTATGTCTATGTCAGCAGTGAGGATGTTTCCCTCTCTTCTGAGAACACAAAACACTTTGAAGATGCTGACTGGAAACAGTGGTGATGACTGATCTGACAGGAACAATTTGTTTTACAGGAACATTTGCATGCTAGCTCACTCATCCACTCACCCACACTTATCCACCATGCAACCATCTTAAAAAGCTTTATACTAATTGTACATAATGTATTAAATGGTAACCTACTGGGCATACAGAAAACACAACAGTATAATTCAAGAAATTAAGGAATTCTGTAGATGAAGAGGTAGCTGCACTACATCTTAGCTTCATTTTTGAGGAGACAGGTGGGCAGACAAAAATGTTCTTCAAGCTAGGTGTGTATTTAAGTCCAGCAGTTTTTTTTCTTCATTTAAATGTATTAGACCACTGTCTTTTTTTTTTTTCTTTCATTTTTTCCTACTGTCATAAATAAGACAAGAAAGAAGCATAACAATATGTGTCATACTTACAGAGGTTAAAGCTTCTACATTGGCACCAGTGAGACACAGAAACCGGACAACATCAAGAATACCATTATTCGCTGCCAGATGTAGAGGTGTTCTTCCATACTAAGACAGATAAAAAAATAGCAATTACAGTATTTAGCAAACCTCACCATGGTTTTTTACGAATAACCAATCATATTATATGATTATATACACTGATGCATACTGAAGGTCTTGCAAAAACCATAAATAATTTCATTACAGCTTCAGCACAATGCCTCAAAACTCAAATAGAAATGAAAGTTACATTGATTATTTGAAAACTTGCTGCATGGCACATCTCAAAGTGTTGTGATTTGTGGCCCAGAGTCTAGCTGGAAGCCTGCAGCTATGAGTTTCCCCCTGGGGTCAGTACTGAGTCCAATTCTGTTCAGTTTATTCTTCAACGACCTGGATGAAGGGACAGAGTGCACTCCCAGCAGTTTGCTGATGATAGAAAGCTGGGAGGAATGGCTGATACTCCGGAGAGCTGTGCTGGCATCCAGAGGGACCTGGACAGGGTGGAGAGATGTCCTGCACCTGGGGAAGTACAGACCCATGCTGCAGGACAGGCTAGCGGTTGACCTGCTGGAAAGCAGCTCTACAGAGAAGGTCCTGGGAGTCTTGTTTGATGGCGAAGAAGGTGAATGGTCTCCTGGGCTGTATTAGAAAAAGTGTTGCCAGCAGTTGAGGGACTGGATCCTCCCCATCTAGTGAGTCCTGGAGAGGCCACATCTGGGTTACAGGGTTGAGTTCTGGGCTCCCCAATACAAGCAGGACATGCAGCTACTGGAGAGGGGGATTGTTAGGAAATAGAGCATCCCTCCTCAGAGGACAGGCTGAGAGAGCTGGGCCTTTTCAGCCAGGAAAAGAAAGGCTGAGATGGATCTTATCAGTGTGAACTAATACCTTACGGGGGAGTGTCAAGACGATGGGACCAGGCTTTTTTTCAGTGGTGGCTAATGGTAGGACAAAAGGCAATGGACACAAAAAGAAGCACAGGAAGGTGTGTCTGAATTTGAGGAAAAACTTCTCAACTGTGAGAGTAACAGAGTCCTGGCACAGGTGGCTCCAGAGGGATGGTGGAGTTTCCTCTAGAGATATTTAACATCTGCCTGGGCATGACCCTGGGCAACGTGCTCTGGGTGACCCGGCTTGTGCAGGAGGGTTGGACCAGATGTTCTTCAGTGGTACTTTCCAACCTCAGCCCTTCTGTAATTAAGGAGAAGTTGCTTCGTCAAACTGAAGGAATTCATTCTTTCAGTGACAGAGAAACATCTGGGGAAAATAACACCAAAACAAAAAGCTGCTGGAAGTATTCCTTCACCAAGTCTTGCTCTTTCCCCATGTCTCTCCACTAAGAGGATTTTTAAAACATCCACTTCTGTCTTTTACATTCCCATCCATTAGATCCAATTCAATAGATTGTACTGGACAATCTTTAAACCAAAAACTCTGCAACGTTCCTTAATTGCCTGGTGCACAGAAGGCTAAAGTTGTGAAGTAAATGCAAATGCTAATGACTAACATGTTATTGCCAAAACATATATGTTTTCAGAAAAATAAAGAAACCTCAACATTTGAAACAAACAAATCACAGAAAAACAGCTCTTAACTTTGTTGCATATTAAATTAACATTTTAGCATCATTACAGATTACAGGAAGTCATTTAGAGCTAAATATCAAGCGTTAACCCTATATATCAAGCCAGCAGACGTTAATAGCCAACGTTAAACTTATTCAAACCAGTGGGAGGGAAAATTTCTGAAGCCACTTGTGATTTACTTAAAGATCCTTAGGAGGAAATTCAGAATATTAAATCTGCAAAATATTTTACTTAGTTTTCACATACTCTACAGCATTAGCACAACAAAGAAATCCAATGAAACATTTGTTTTAGAGACAGGCAATTAATTTTTCCTCTTTACAAAGTGATTAGTACAATTACAGACTTTTTGCATTTTTAGCTGGCAGCAATCCAGTCATATGCACTGCAAAGTTTATATAACTACATAATTCACCAATTGTTTCTGTGATCATTACACCTAAGTGAAACAGAAAGAAACATGAAATTTGCCCCAAAACTTCACTCTACTGTCTTGAACTTCTAAAAGCATTTTTACACTCAACATTTAAATTCTGAGATTTAATGTAACCTAATGGCAATAACTGTTTAATAAACTAATTTAAGCTATTTTAAGATAAATGTTTAGGATTTGTTTTAATAAATCAACTCAAGGCAAAAAAACATAAATCTGCCAAGATAATACGTACTTTTCTGAGAACAGAATCTGCAGTTTATTTAAATAACTTGTTAGATGAAGGTGCAAATCTTTTCATATCATGTAGAAGAATTCAAAAACATTTCTTTTTGATAAAAAAAGTAAATCACCTATTGTTAAATAACTTCAAGTCAATGCTCATTTAGGTCAAGAAAAACAGTGTGTAATGGTAATCTGCATATAGAAAATTCACACAGCCAGGGAATTAGGCTGGCATATACTATAGCATTAGAGTTGAATAACAAAGTATGCTGTGACAATTAATTCTGTTGGGTTCTTTCCTCAGAGGTGTTTAATCATTTACTCAAGTGAAACAAACTTATGTAAATTAACGAGGTGAGTTAATGCTTTGCACTTGGACAATGGAAAAAAATGGAAGGAAAATGGAAAAATAACAAAAATGTATCAGAGAATTGGAGAAGGTCTACACAGTAGGTGAGCTATTGTTAAACAAAGGAGTTATTCCATTTACCTTATTAATGACATCCAAATTACAACTTGCTTCACAGAGTGCCATCACAATAGGAACGTTCCCATCCTTGCAAGCCACATGCAGAGGGGTGTTGCCATGTCTGTCTTGGAAGTCTACGAAACATCCCTGGCTGATAAGAGTTTTAACCACTTCCATTTGACATCTTCTCACAGCAAGGTGTAGGGCTATGTGCCCATCCTGAAAGCAAAAAACAACTTCTAAGCCACATTTTAATAAGTTAAAAAAAAAAACCAAGTATTTTTCAGAATCATGATAATTTCATGGCAACCATGTGCCTTCCCATGCTTCAAAACCACAAGGCATTTTTCCTTTGAGAGTGAAGCCAGGGAGATTTACAGTACCTGTCGGAACGAATCAACTATGGCATAAAAGCAGATTTACATTAAGTCACTAGGCTTTGCACTGGAATGAATGAAGTGCAAATAAACATTCAATGCTGATGCCTTCCCTGGGGAATGGGAAAGTGACCAACAGTAAAGACCAGCCGAGTTCTTAAAGCACTGTAGTGCTCACTGACAGTGGTTAGGTAGACAAAAGCCATACAATTTGTTTAGGGATAAAAACTTTAGACTTAAGTTTTTTTGTTTTTTGTTTTGCTTTAACAACTATTTAGGTGTAATGGCAATTCCATCAGGAATAATTTAGCTATAAGGGCATGCAGAGCTTAAGTACAAGCAATAAAATGCAAAGATTATTCCTTGGGACTACACTGCAAATGACAAGAATTGGTATCGAATCACCTGGCATTATTTTTAAACAACTGGAATGTATATTGCTGATATGAGATGTGATTTATCTGACACACAGGAAAGAAAGGCAAACTATTCATTTTTTTCCTCTTATGTTATTGCTTCTTGCAACTCCAGTGACCAGTGTTCTTGCTGTTCTCTACGGAGAGTAAGTTGCTCAAAGAGTTTTGTTAATTAATAAGGTGATTGCACAACAGCCAAAAATAAAAACATGGAAAAATAATCACTCAACTACTTTAAAGACTACTGGAGTCATCAATATTCTCTTTAGACTACCCAGAAAAACCATGTCATGAAAATAATAATGGCTTGCAGCACTCAAATAAAGCAGCTCTGAGATGCAACTCTATGAAACCTGTGATCTCCACACATAATTCCTGACTAAAAACAACTCAGTCACCCATTACTAACCTTGTCTGTTGCATCAAGGTCAGCTCCGTGCTCTGCCAAGCATTCCACAATATCATGGTAACCCCTAGCAGATGCTGTTAGGAGAGGAGTCTCCCCTTCTTTGTTTTTGATGTTCACATTACAACCTGCTTCACAAAGTGCTTTGGCAACAGAGTAGTAACCATGCCAAGCAGCACAATGCAATGGTGTTTCTTCCTCCTATGAACACAGATTAGGAAAATACAATACAATTGAAGCCAAAAGCTTTGCTAATTTAGAAATATAGGAAAATTTCAGGAAAGAAAAAACACAGTCTTTTCAAACAAACCCTATAAAAAGATAAAAGTAATTTCTAATGCTGATGGTCTCAAAATGTGAATAATTCTTGCTGATGTACTCAGTGAGTGTGGTAACTCCCTAAACTTTCATCACTATCTTGAGTCCTTATTTCTAACCATAAAGCTATCTGTGTTCATTAGCTGGCATGTAAGCGATACTAATTTTGATGTCTCTACGTTGCCAGAGCTATCCATTTATCTGGTGTTTACTTGAAAACACACCCTTCTTCATAAGTAACTTCTATGTCGTGTGTGCTGAAAGTCTAATACAGTATTTAAAATGGATCATTCGCCAAGGGGATCTAAATTCCATAAGACTTGCAGATTGAGGCATGTCACTGTTTACAACATTCAGAGCACATTTAAGTGATTTTTGAACGTAGGCAGTGACTTAGGTACTTAGAAAACTGAGTCATCTAATGTCACATTAAGCTGTGCTTTGAAGCTGTGGGCACTTTGAATTAGTTCAAATTCAGTTGTGCCTGAAGCTCTAATTTGGTTTGTTTGAACCAAGGAAGCTTCAAAAGATTCACCTTTAATCTTTCTGTGCTTCCTGACATTCTGCAGAAGATCATTCAGGCCCTTAAGGGTTTTATAAAAATGAAATATGGACAACACTACTCGGTAGCTCAATGCAACACAGGAAGGATTAAAGCAGAAAGAGTCATTCTGTTAAATTCTAAGTAATGAGATACATTTTATACTTGGCAAATATCAATGATGATATATCAATGCTAGTATCATCAAATGATTCTACAAAACTCTGAGGAAAAAGTAATAACCAAAGAGCACTTTCTGGGGCCTTTAGACCTTCTACTGTTTAAACAAAATAATTGTAATTCTACAGCACATAGTACTTTGAAAGGCTGGTGGAACAAACAGACTATGAAATTTCTGTGAAGTTTGAGTTTAATTTCTTTTTTTCTTTTTCAATTAATACTCTTCCTTCTTGTCTTCCCATAAGAGTTTCTAGTTCAGAGCTAACAGGTAGGATTCAAAGCAGTAACTAAGAGAAAGCAATAATGCAAATCAAGGAACACCACCCATATCTTCCTGATGTTCATTTCATGACTTCTCTTCATTTTAAAATTTTTCTTATCAAGAGAAACTGTTTTATGAGTACAGATATGGTGGTTTCATGCGCACTGATTTAGAACAGTCTTCATCTACTAAAAAGTATAGAGGCCTACATAATTCTATTATTTTTTTTCTAATTCAAACACGTGTGAGGTAGCAAGCCAAGACAAAAAGTTTTGACCACTAATGCTAACGCTGTATTTGTTTAAGAAAAATAGAAAGTGCATATGACTCACCTTGTCTTGAAAGTCTGGATAGGATCCAACACTACAGAGAAACTGAACCACATCCACATGCCCATACCGAGCTGCAACATGGAGAGCTGTTTCTCCAGACTGCAATTATAGAACATTCCAGTGTTATTTCACACATCACCCACAAATATATACCATCATGCTCCCCATACAATGCTTGTATGTGGCATGAGGGTCCAAGTATCCCTCCTCTGTATCCATATTCTATTCCTCAGCTGTGTTCAGGTGTAAAGGCCAGCTCACATGTTGTTGTTGTTGTATGTTACAGGTGCAACACCAGCTGACAAAGGTCTTCACCTCTTCGAAAGGTCTTCCTTCAGAACTTACGTGTTCTGAACTTACTTGATATGTTCAAGATCACAGACACAATGCAATCTCCTAGCAATATAAGGCAACTGGCTGAGAGACTATGCAGCATACACAATGAAGCACAAGTCCTGTATGTATTCATAATATTTTCCTTCTCTCCATACATATATACTTGGTCAAAGACTGGTATATCCTGGCATATTTTTGTTGCTAAATGTAATTATTTACAACCTGATTAATGATTTAGTTGCAATGATATATAAAAGAATGGTATTTTTATTGAGAGAGTAACCTCTTTTTTTTTTTTTTAATAGCCCAATTAGGGTAAATTGAACATCAATTGCTAGTATGCCTTGAATGGGTTCCCTGACCAACTACATTTTATAAATCTTGCTTCCTCTACTTTGGCACTTTGGCCAGAATAAAAACCTTGGTAAGATAAGAGCAATCAATACCTTGTGACAACAGTACTCAAGTAACACTATTAAAGACAAGGTAAATGCTCATCAACTACAGAGTGTTAGGCTTCTATTGTCAACTTAATAATAGTCAAATTTATTTGTCAGATAAAAGTGATTTTCAATCAACAGAAATAAAAGAGAATCACGATTTTACTCTGTGTTCCAATGTGAAACTAATCTTTATCAGAAAATTAACTTAGATTTGTACTTCTCCACCTACCCACCACGTACCCACGTTTATAGGCATGCTTGGTTAACATTTGTCAGAAAAATAATCAGCACACGAAGCTATTTAAAAGTTGTGCTATCACAGCCCTATTTGTCAGCTTATAAAGCCATACTAAAAAAGGTCAATCACATTTCTGGGACTATGGCATAGTTGAAAATCATCTCAGAAGACCCTTTTTTACTAAGATAATCCATATATACCTATACACACACACAAACACACCTACAAGAAAGATGAATAGTTTTGTTCTTACCTTATCCTTGACATCCAAAGGACACTTATTCTCATTAAGAAATTTCAGTGTTTCTACATGACCATGTCGAGAAGCCCAGTAGATTGCATTAGATCCAGCCTGTCCAAAATATTTGTTTATATAGCTCAAAAAATGCAGAACTCTTTTCCCGGGATACACACGCATATATGTATACATGTACATTGAATATCTTAGATTCACTACTCTGACTATAAGCTAGTCAAGTTATAGCTTATATCAGAACTTTTTTTTCCCCTTTTTTAAACTTCATTTTGGTTCAACAGCCTTATGTATCAACCAAAAAAAAAAAAAAAAACCACAATCAACAAACAAGTAAAAATTCCTCTCTGTGACGATAATTAACACATCTTTACATTCTCTTACCCCTTTTAAGGCATTTTTGAGGAAAGAACAGTTACAGGATACAAAAGAAAATGATTCAGATGATTATAATACATTTTGAAAAATTCTTTCTGCAAAGTATATCTTCTGGATACTTAGGAAATTTAGTAGCAATAATATATACCAATAAAATGTGCATTTTCATCCTGTTCTGTACTAAATAAGTTTTGCCAATATCTTTTATGGAAATTACTGATTTATTCAAACCAGTTTCACAAGCAAGAATCAAATTTTAAGATGAGTTTTGCACAAATCGGCTAATAATTGAAGGCTATATATGCTGTAGCAACACTTGAAATTATTCAAGATTTGCTTTTGTCTTTTTGCTACAGAGGACAGTGGATAGTTTATGTAACAGACTCTGTAACTCAGATGTTTTCATGTATAGTACAACCTGGTCTCATGTGTTTGTCCTCTGCTAACTGTCCTGAAACTCAAGAACACTTACAGAATGAAGACAAAATAGAACCCAGACCTTATCTTGAACATCGATACGAGATCCACGCTTTAAAAGCAACTGAAGCATCTGAATATTTCCACAGCCAGCAGCGATTAATAAAGGTGGTGTTCCATGCTAATAATGAAATATAAATAATATATTTAATTTTTGAGGCATTAAGGAAGAGAGCATACTGCAGCAAAAATTATTTATCACCTGGAGCAAAGAAGTTTATTGTATCCCAATTTTCTGTATTTCTGGAAAGAGATCTCACTAAACAATACACTATACACTAAAGTCAAGTTTTTCGAAACAGGAATACAAACATTAAGCTCTTGTTAGTCCAGTTTGATAAGCAGGTGCTCCTCTGCAGATGCTTTATAAGCACATTTGAAGGCAGCGTACCTAGAGAATTGGTCACAACACCTCAGAGACAGAAACCATTAGCAACTTTCTAGAAAATTACATGGTAATGCAGCAGCAAAACACAAAAGGCACCAGTAGCCTAAGAGATTCAAGATCTCTCCACAGGAAAAGAAAAAAGGCTTGAATTTTATAGAACTCTTCATCAATATTTTTCAATTGAAAAAACTGAAAATTGAAAAATCACTTTATAATGAAGATGAGTATAATCCATCTCTTTTTATAGGCAAGTGAAAAATGCAGCAGGGGTGGTATTTCTAAAGTCAACCAGCAAAGCTAGCAACAGAAATCAGTTTTCTGGTCTCAATTCTGATAATTCAATTTAGCGCAGCAGAAGTGAAGTGAAATCATTTAGTAAGCAATACTGCTGCATTTCTGAATCAGATGAGCACTACAGTCTAATACAATGTTGAGACAATCAGTTTCTGTAAATAGCGGCATTTTTTTTTTCCAGTGTTTTACAGGCAACTTTAACAGTATGATTATCCCCACACAGTAAGTTTTTAATTTCTCTGGAAAAGGAGGAGGTTAACACCAACAGATAGGTGTATTAAGTCACCGTCATCTGTTATAAGAAACAAAAGCTGCAAAAGAAAAGCAAAGACATATCTAATACAGTACAGCTCTTGAAAATAGACGTGTATATTACTTTTCTTTTGGAATTTTATTTGGAAAGGTCTAGGAAAGAAAATGTTTTGGGCTCCATTTTCAGGTAATTTGAGAACACTGAACACAGAACACTTTCAGATGATTTCCCCTAAAGGAAGACTGAATAATTTCCCATCTTCTTGACATTTTCCCCCCTATTAATTTCAAGTGTTAACACCACTACTTGGCAACACCATTGTTCTATTCAACAGGGCGAGAGCCAGTCTCCCACACACCTCAGCACAGACCCTTACTTTACCTTGTTGGGTTGATTGACATCGTAATTTGCCAGAGATCCCAGAAGGTGCTGTAATCCAGGAACATTGTCATCATTGATGGCATGAATAATAGCTTTCATCACAAATGAATCTTCCTCATCCTTGTAATTAAATGAGAAAGAAGAAAAATTGTTAGCTTAAAAGAAAAAAAATCCCTCTTTGTCTCAAGGCCTGCCAAGACACAGAAAAAAAAAGTTAAACTTTCACTTTTGTAGAACCTCTTAGTGCAAGGATAAAGTGATTTTCAAAAGCATATGGCTAAAATTACATATGCTATTTGAAAATACAGCCTTTTTCTAGTACAATGTATTTCACTCTTCCTTAAATACAAACCTACTTTCAACTTAATTTTCACCTATCCAAGACAGCCAGTTGTAAACCCAGAACTTTACCTATGACGCTAAGTATTTTCTCAGACATAACTTTGTTCTTCCATGCACTAAAATGCCAAAAAAAAAGGAAATCACAGAAGCCAGTATTTGGGACATTCCTCTTCCCTCTTTAGAAGTTACTGGCTTTTTAGAATAATATAGGATATTACTGAGAGAGGAAAGGGGGGAAAAAAAAAGCCTTTTTTTTTTTTTTTTTTTTTTTTTTTTTTTTTTTTTTTTTTTTGATCCCACTATTGCCTGGAAAAGATGAGTCTAAATAACCTAGCTCTAAATATATTAACGTATATACTTGGGTGATCACAGAGAAATTTGTGAAAACATGTAGGCATAAACCTGGAGAGCAAGCTAAATAAGAATGGTTTTCATGGTTTTCTAGCATTCTAATTACAAAATATAGAAGTATTGCCCCAGCTATTTAAACCTAGAAGACAATACAACACCATGAGCTTGAGACCAGATAACTCTTCAAACTTCCTCCTTTATTAACTTCTTACTCCATTAATACTGTGAAATATTTTCTGTTTCTAGAAGGATGTCAAGTTCTCTGAATAATTCTGATCTTTTTCATGCTACTATGTATCATAATTCCTTTTCCTTTAAAATAAATTATGATACATAGTAGCATGAAAAAGATCAGTTTTAACTTTTTCACGTTACAATGTGAAACTACAATGTTAAAGCTCTGTATAAACAAATTTCAAAATCAAGAAAAAATAAATTTAAGTAGTAATTATCAGGCTCAATAGAGGAAAAAAGTAATGAATTTGTAAGAATTTATAAGAATTATGCAAAAGATTAGATTATGCAGAACAGACATTTCTAGCTTAAAAAATGTATCTTTTATATATAAAAATAATAAATTATAAATCCATTTACAAGAATTCAATATTCTTGCTAGAATCATTTCACTCTAATTATAGAAATATATACTTACCAGAGTATCATCACTCCTAGCAACACTCATGTTACTTCTGGACAAGAAAGATCTTGATAATCTTTGGCACAAGGATATTAAGCGTACTGATTGCTTTTTAAAAATAAGAAGAGAAAAGCTATATTTAAGAAAAAAAAAAAAACCAAACGGAATACTTGTGATAGGATACTATTGCGGAGATTTTAAAGGAATACTGTCATATAACCAACATAAACAAACAGGAATTTGATTTAAATCTTCCTCTTTGTCTCCCTTTTATTCATCTTTAAATTTCATTTGCATTTTTTAATGCAAACAGGCTATTGAAATACACTAACACAGCTACATAATATTTTTTGATCACAACTATATCACAAACATAGTCATATCCAGACCAAAATAAATTATCATTACATCCTCTTCTCTGCATCTCCAATTTCTCAAAAATATTTGCAAAAGAGAGATTTTAAAATACGTGCACCCAGAAAACCTAAACCAAACATAAATTAGCTGACAATATTCCTTTAAGTGCCATATTACAACAAAAGTTAAGATATTCCTAACACTTGCTTGAGAGCAGCAAACTAATTTTTAGATTTTATAAGCACAGTTGATCCTTACATAACACAAACGTTAAATTTTGGTGCAAATGTACTTAGCTGGATATTTTGTGTCCAAAGTTCAAGAAAATGACCTTATTTTTTGACATTTGTGACAATGTGTTGCACTGCTTTCCTAATAACACAGCCCTCTGTTGGCTCATGTTTCACTCTTCTCATGATAAACAGATTTCTCATGCAAAAGTCCTGTCCTTACTTGGTTTCAGCATGAATTCCCCAGTGTGCTCGGTGAAGAATTGGGGATGTCTGTCTCGATAAACAGCTCCTGGCTTAGGCCCATGCTTCCAGCTAATGCCATGCCCCATTTCCAGAAAGATTAAATGATGTCTTCCTCTATGGAAGTCTGCAATCTTTTGCAGAACAGACTATATTTTTTTCTTGTTCTATTGAATAGTTAATTCTGTGAGGATACTTAAGGGATGTTTGGTTTACTCAGATCATTGTCACAAAAACATGCGCTACATTTACAGATGCTTTTAGTCTGAAAACATTACCAAGACAGAAGATGACAGCATACAACTAGATGCATAAAACAATCCACACACAAGCATTTGTATGCTTGTCACTATGAAGAAGTTTTCTCCCTAATTACCATACACCTACTAATTTTTTCCAAATTGACACAAAAATAGGGTCTTTCTTCCTTTATGCAATGAAGAGTTTGAGATTTTGTATTTCCCTTAAAAAAACAGTCATCACAAACGCTTGTTTGCACCTCCTCAGCACACGTAGTGCCATTGTAACTCTATGCTGCCATCATTTTGAAGACTTACTGAATGACTTACTTTCCATTTTCGTCGTGCTGCAAACTTTTTGAATTTCTCCATGTTCACTGCAGATGCTTTTCTACTAAGTGCTTGTTGGGTGTCTTTAGGCTATGGGAAAAATCAAGAAGGTCATTGTGAAGTACTACAACACAGCTTTCAGGAAGCATCTTCCTGTCTGCAAGTCTTCCTGCCCTTTGGTGATGACTTCCACTTGCATTATAATGAGATTATCATACTGCCATAATAAAGCAATTGCATGCACACCATTTTAACACGCACAGATTAGTGAAGCATGCAACTGGAATACCTTGAAAAAATATCCTGAAGAATATCCATACATTTTGTGCATTATTTTCCTTGCTGTTTGCCTCAGCAAAATATGAAACTAATGAAATGAGTGGTGCTCTTGAATATCTCATTTGTTTGAAAGGACATTTAGAAATGAAAACATAGAAGTTTCAAAAAGAAATATAGCTAAAAACAAACAAACAAAGAAGTCAGTAGAAAATTCAGCTTTGTCCTTCTCTCTCTGGCACAGGTATTGGTATAATTTCTGAGAGAAATCTTAACTTCCGGGAAAATATCCTGCTTCTATTTTAGATTCCATCCAAGTTAGCACTTGTCTCAGTGCAATCAGTCTGGCCCAATCCCTACTACTTCCGTCTCCAAAACACCATCCTATTTACTCTGCAGTCACCTCTAAGGCTGTACCCTTTAATCTTTCTCACACCAGCACTACGTACCAATTTCTAGTACAATATGCCAAATTTTGTACTGTAACATCTCGTATTTGGAGTGTGAAAGGCTTTAGAAACTCAGTTTGACAGATACTCAATACTCAGAAGAAGACAGTAATGGAAAGAAAAGAGGATATGAGCAGTGGCATGAGGGAAAGAAGCATGTAAAGTTAAAATGAAAATGAACAGAACAGGGTACAATTCAACACCTTGTTCAAGGAAGCGCTGGGATTTGAAAGACAAACTCAAGACAAACTTGCTCTAGTGATTTAAAACATCATTACCCCAACTGCCTGTTTCACATTCCAGCTGTTTACCATTGCCCCCAGAAAAGCCATCAAAGCAGAATGGACACCAATAATTTATTCAGTCAAATCCGTAGTTTGGCTTACTAGTATTTTACGTGTTTGCCCCAAGATGTTAGAACAGGAACTGGAGCAACTGTGACAGGGACATATACTTTGCTTACTACTTCTTGGAGAAAAAGAAAGGTTTCAAACACTCACAGGTATTCTTTTACTAAGACATTAGCCCTAGGCTTCATTTGTAATAAAATTTACTAGAATGAAACTGATTTTTAATAGATACAAATACGTAAGACTGAAGAAATCAAGACAGCAGAGCTAACAAGTCATTATTTATCAGTTCAGCAGTGGTAACTTAAATCAAACCTTCAATATAAATGAGGCTTCCTCCAAGACTGCGGAAATTACTGGCACTGTAAAGATTCACTGTTAACAAGCAGAACGAGATATGCATTAAGCGACATGTATAATACACACATATGTAAAAGGGAAGTAATTTTCCTCTTTCCTTCTCAGCTTAACAGTTGGATTCACAGCAAATCCTGAACTCTCCAAAAAGAAATGGATCACTGTCCCATATAAACTGCATTTTTTAGTCTAAAGAGGGAGGAAGGAAATAGGAAAGAAGATCCTTTTGTCCAATCTAACTATTGAGATGAGAAGATGACAAATATAAGTGAGCAGAGAGGAATTTGGTCTGAAATCAGAGAATGTGTCTTTGTCAGTACAATGTCTTTGGAATACTAGCTTCCCTGAGTAATGCACTGCAGTACTTGCCTACCACTAGCCAAGGTGGAGGATATCCTACTGAAATTCACACACTACACTTAGCAGTTTACACAAAAATAGCTCTCTGAAACAGTAACACCTAGTGAAAAGATACGTCATTTTTCCATTTGAAGGTTTTGTTTTAAAAAAGTGTGATATGAAATAAAGCTGATTAAAAGCAGTATAAGAGAGAACATATTGCACACTAACCTTGATCCAAGGATGCAATAAACTGTCTTGGATAGTCATTCTTTTCCTTTAATAGGAGAAAAGATAGAACTATTTCAGGCAATAAAAATTACACAAAATACATAATATTATATACTTAATAAACTAACTTTTCATAATATAATGTAATTTGAAACACTACAGATAATTCAGAGTGCAACAGCACATATACAAGAGGAGAAATAACTCACTTTGGATCCTTGACTAGAAGTCTTCGTATAAAATCTTTAGCTAGGGCACTAGTATTACTGAAGAATTCCTCCTCAAAATCATAGTTCACAGCAGACACATTTGCTAACGTTTCCTGTTTGGTTTCTCCAAGAAATGGTGATGCACCACTTAAACTGCAGAAAGAGAGAGCATTCCTCTTATTGTTGTTAATATTGCTGGTTCAATCCCCTATGATCAAATCAAGGCAGAAGGTGATTTTTTTTTCTGCTTTAGAATTGCAACTATATTTTGAGGAAGATTTGATCTAATAGCACATACATCTTCACTGGAATTTCTGGAAATACTGATTAAAATAAAGCTTTTAAGGAATATTACTTAAGATGTGAAGCCAGCTTCCCATGCTATCTCAATGGCTGACTAATGGCTGTTCTTTCAGTAATTATAGCGTTGCTTTTATGATCACTTATGTGCAAAGACTACTTTGATCCGCACAAAATTTTAATGTGAATTTTTTTGGGAAAAAAAGAAACCCCACAACACCCAGAGGACAGAATCAGAATTAAATAGCATTTCTAAAGAATCACTTGTAGATTTTGGTACTTACAGAATGTAAGTTATTACACCAATACTCCTGGAGTTAAAAAGAAAAGAAAAAAAGGGTGGGGGGAAGAAAGGGTAAGAGAGAAAAAAAAAGTTAGAACTTCAGAATTATTATTAGAGACCTATCTCAAAAAGATCCAATAGCTTACCACATATCTGCTTCAAGACCAAGAGGTTCATAATTTACTATTTCTGGAGCTAAAGGAGTAAAGCAGAAAATCAGTACATGACCAAAGAACAGATCAATGCCATTCTGAACATGTGTATGTCATACATAAAAAGCTAAAATGCTGTTGAATAAAAATATCTAATGCAAATCTTATTAATGAACATTATAAATTATTAAATTTCAAAAATGTCACAAATTGCACACAAATTATATAAAAAGGAACCTAGCCAAACCAAGCTAAGCCAAATATACCATTTTGTATGCTGAAAATGTCAGAAGAAGTCAGGAGTCAGAAACAAGAACAGCGCTCTTACCAACAAACTCCGGTGTTCCAAAAATATTTTTGAATTCATTTCCAAAGTCAATTTTGTGTGCTAAACCAAAGTCAATAATCTTGATTCGAGGCTTCGGTACATTCCTGTCCAGCAACATTATATTTTCAGGCTTTGAGAAGCAAAAAGGAAGAGAAAAGAGATTTTAGGTATGCACAAAATGTCCGATACCTACAAGTACCCTTAAGCGGAGAGCCCTCGCTCACTATCTACTTCAGTCTCTTGATCTGTCTCTTCAGCAAGAAAATCCTGTCATTTGCTATTATGACCTAACATGCTAAAAATTAAGCACAATAAAACAGGATTTCACATCAATGACAGACTCCTGTGATTTCCCTGGGGCTGAGATTCTACCTCTCGTAAATACACCTACTGCAGTTTTCATGTGGACTAAGTGAGCTGAAATCACATCCATAAACCAGCATGCCCTGAAAAGCTCTTAGAGCTTCAGCTATCTTGCCTGTGTTGTCAAAGAGGACTTTTGGAGCCACTAAGAACTTCAATATCACCAGTCTTCTACTACTCTTTATTATATAACAGCTGATGTGCAGATAAATGGCTAATCATCTTCCTTCTCCTCCCACATTCCTGTTTTTTTGCTGCATATTTTGCATATGCTTATTATCAGGTGTAAGGATCTTTTATTTCATTAGACACAAAGGTAAGAATTTACATTTCATATTAGGAAATAATAAAACTATACCCCCAGAACACTGCATCTCTTCTAAAATGCCATCGCCATAAAACAATGCCTCCTTTTCCTACGACAGACAAGCTGCTGACTTCAGCAGACTAACTAATGTTCAGCTGACTTTCAGCATTAAGATGATGTTAACTACCAAAATTTTTATCTATGAAAACACTTAAGGTTCTGAAACTAAACAATAAAAAACACTAAATGTACATGCAAAGGATATCTTTTCATTGCCAAAAGGATACAAAGTTCATTTAAAATGAAGCTTTTCTTTTTCAAGCATACACACACAGACACTCCTTTCCTCTCCTGCCCCCTGCATGTGTTCTACAAAAAAATCTTTACAGCCAATTTTGTCTTGTTTTCTTTTACTACCTATAGATAATTTTCAAGAGAACACAGGATATATACAAAGGCAAACAAAACAAAAGCTACAAAATTTATAGAAAAGAAGCATGCTATTCAGAGGACTGCATCCAGATTCACATTCTACACAGTCCTAAATATCTTCATTTCAAGATTGTTTCCTCAGAATGCTGTAATTTTGTTCAAAGTTGCCATTTCCCATGAGGACACAGATGAGAACAGATGTTCATGGTTGTCTTCTCAATGGCAGGATATTCCCCTGTCTATATAAGCTAGCAAAACAAAACTACAGCCAATATCTGCACGATGGAAGAGTTCTGGCTGGTTTTATCGGGACATAATGGGATGTTGCTTGCAGTTGTCTACATTTTTAATCTGTTCAACCTACCTTAAGATCAAAGTGGGCAATTTGCAGAGAATGGAGATACTGAACACCATTAAGTATTTGTTTGAGAAATTCTGTGGCTTCCTCTTCTGTGAGAGATTCTTTTTCGGCTAAGAAGTCAAAGAGCTCTCCACCTGCAACACTTGGAAAACAAAAGCGGAGTTACTGACAAGCTTGCATTACCTACAGGTTCTTCTTAGCACAACTATTTTGAGAGCAATCATATCTTCTAGTTTGATACTCATGCTTTTAATATCATTAGTATCAAAACAGAAGATGAATACTGCATAATTCAATACCTGAAATAGTAACTCTATCCCTCATTCTCTGGAGAGGGAGAAGATTACAGTACAAAAGTCTTATTTTCAAACAAGAAACCTAAAAAAAGAAAAATCAGGGTCGGCTATATCTAAATTTAAATAAATATTACAATTAAGTAAGCATACTCAAAACATAATAATGTAGCTAAACATTAGAAAACAAAACATGAATTGTCTCATACTACTAATAAATACAAGTTTTTTATGCATTGGGAAACAGAAAAGTCAAATTTTATTTTGAAACCTTTAAATAAATACTAGTAGTTGTCTTATTATCCTACTATGCAATTTCTAAACTTCTCTAAGCATTCAGTTCTATGAAAAAAAATCTGTAATCTTTAGAATAATGTGTTATCATCATGTATGTCACATCTGGACCTAAAGTTATCATACATTTCCTGCAGGAAAACAAAAAAAAATGCTGACTTTAAGACCCCTTTCAGCAAGTCTTTTAGTATAAGCAGAACGAAGAGCCTAAGAACTGAAGGGGGGGCATAAGCATTGCCCAGACTCTGTGTTCGAGGAAGAGGAATAAACTGAAAACGGCCCTTTTCTCAAGTTCAGTCAGTCATCTGGCAGGAATGATGATTATTGTCAACAGGGTGAAGACACACAGAAAACATGATTTTTAATTATCCTTTAAAAAAAAAAAAAAAAAAAAAACCCCTAATACCTCCTGCAGTCTGCCCTCTATTTAAAGACATATTTTTGGCTGTTCTGGCAACTTGCTTTTCATGATTACGAAAACGGCATTGGTTACCCATAAATGTGTTAGAGATTTCAAAATTAGTCATATTATTTCCCATGTTTTGCATTGTATTGATATTTATTAAAAATCTCTAAAGTACACCCTAATACTTTTTGACTTTCTGTCAGAAAAGAATCTGTCCGCGATTAACATAATGATTATGAAGAATAATGGTATTAGCATTTAATAACTGCTAAACAGTCTGGGCGAGTTTCTTGAAATACACTTGACTTGCTTTATCATGTCTGCTCTTCAAGAGACTTAATGTGTATTAGTGTAATGCAAATTGCATGCAAAATATATTTTAATGAGTTCTTTGAGCCTTCAGTCAGCTGGCTATAGGACAATAGGGGTATTGTTTTTTAGTTTTATTTGTGCTGCTGTAGTATTTTTTTCATGAAGCAATTATTGAAACAAAGTGCCATTAAATAGAAGAATCACAGTCCAGAAGGGAGAAGGGTCATTTGAATCACCTGTGTTTATTTTAGAAGCATTAAAATGGAATTCCAACTGAATAAGTACAGTTCATTATCTTACCACAGATGCTGGTCAGTAATATCTTACAAACAGATGCACATGTGCATTACCTCATGCTTTACATCTCACTGAAAAGAGACCTTTCACTGTGTGAAACGTTTTCAAGCTAAGGTTTGCAGCTCCATGGCACTTCCTGACGACAAGTGGAAAACAGGGCAGCGACACAGTGGGGGCATTTCTCCTCATTTTTGGGCTTACGTACTTGAGAATTACATAGAATTTGTTTCAAAATGTTTATTAATACATGTGGACGTTGCTGTGGTTGTCGTAAGGATGTTAATCAAAATGCATTCCTGTCATACACTGCAAACAGCCTCTGGCTACTTTCTAAGCCAGGGAGCAGCTGTGCCAGCAGTCACTGCCAAAGCAGGCACCTTTATAAAGTCAGGTTGAGCAGTGAACTAACTGTCTTACAGTTTTTGGTAAGCAGGCAGAACCCCTCTAATGATCCACCAATGCCACACAGCTTACCCCTCAGAAGAGAAAGAAAAGGAGGCTGGAAAGACTGCAGCAAACACATTTATTCCCTCATGCAGGCATAAACAATCTCTGTAAAACTTATTAACCATCTGTAACAGCAGCAGCCGTGGTTACACAAACTTCTTCTAAACATGAAAGACATATTTAGTTTAATACACTGCGTTTATTTTTAAGAATCTAATGAAACACAATTGTTTTGTGTAAAATGGAAAAAGCCTCTATCCTTCGCCTCTTCTTATATGTATAGTATTTCATATCCTGAAAGTTCAGACCATATGAAATTACAGGTTTGATAAACATAGGTCTTCACTTGCCTCAAATATGTCACATTTTTGGACAGCTGATTGCATTAGAGAACATTTAGCCCTTCTTTAAGAGCACACTTAAACAGATCAGCCAACAGGTTTAGAAAAAATTTAGTGCAATTTTTCTGTCTTGCCATAGGTTAGTTGTAGTGATGTTTCATCTATAATAATTTCATACATTTTAAACAGTGTGGAATAGAATACTACTTGTATTTCAAAGGCAATACACCTGGTACCTAACAAAGGTAGAAACCAAGGTCCCAAGAGATATTTAATTGGTTAATCAAATAAGACAACCACAGCTGTTAAAAGCTCTCTGCTACCAAAGAAACCCTTCTAAGCTCTCCTGCTTCAAACTGCACCAATGCATTTGGCATTTACTTGTCCCTGTACAACACAAGCAGGGATCAACAATCTCATGAGAGCTTAGTAATACACATATTGCTTCTTCCCTTCAACATTTATTGTATGACTACTTTCTTCTGCTTCTTTTCTGTGGACTCTGCTCAGGCCTGATATTAAATTGCATCACTTCAGATGTACAAAAACTGTATCACCATAGGGTAATTACTTCAAACAAAAGCACTTATATGGGTCCACCTGAATATCCTCTGCAAGTTAAGTTCAACTCCACAATTAATTCACTGAGTAAAAGTGTCCTCAAATCAATCACCAGGGTCTGTTTTTACAGACTTCATAAAAATTAAGTCCACAAGGAATAAGAACTGAAGTTTGTAAGAACAGCATGATCCAGACTGAAATTTAAATATTATAGGACCCCAAATGGCTTACAATAAACAAATAAAGACATCAACTATGTAAGATACCTCATCCCTCAAGAATTTCCTAAAATTCTGCTGGATTTTCAAGTCTAGTCCTATGTTTCAGACAGGACAAGGCAGTCCTATGCAAAATAAACACAACAGATCTTTTTTAATTGCCTATGGTATGGTTTATCTTAAGCAAAGCAGTAGTCATAATCAACAGAAGGACAAACAATTCCACAAATCAGACTCTGAAACAGCTTTCTTTTTAAATTCTCGACTCTACCCCAAATTGCACAGATTTTAGCTTCATTACAATGCTTCAGCATCATTTATAAACTAACAGCAAAGTAAGAGTTTGCTTGGAGGCTGCTGGTGCATGAAAGCGTCATTTAAATCTGGCTAGAACCAGATCGTTTAGTAGGTTTCCCTGAAATACTCTCTCATCACGCAACCTCCCTTTCATTGCCTTTGAGAAGGAAGACTCGCTACAGAGAGAGCAAAAAAAAAAAAAAAAAAAAGTTTCCTGACAGAAATGTGAGCTATAGGTTCACAAGGCTGTCCTGTGCTCCCCTTGATCATTTTAGACCACCTGTACCTTGTATCCTTCTAGAAGCTTGAGAAGCTTTTCTCAATTTCTTTGCTTGCTGTTAGGAGTTACTAGATACGCTTCTCAGCAATTAATTTGCGAGTTAACACAACTCTTGTATACAGATTGCTAAAAATTAACCTATGAGCAACAAACTATAACCAGTCAGATTAACAGAGGAACTTCATTAAAGTCAAGTCACATCTGAATTCCATTTCTGCTGCTAACAGAAACCACTGTCACATAACACCTTCCTTTGAAGCTGTCTTAATGTTTATAAAACATAAAACTTCGTTTAGTTTTAAACTAAAATCACTTTGCAGCTACCGTAAATTATTCCTATATTAAAAGTAAGAATTTGTGATTGATAAAGATCATATCTTTATCTTAAAGAGGTTTCAGGATCACATTATAAAACAAAAAGCAATAGAGGTTCAATAATGACTTTCACGTTGTAATGTGAGCTCATTTCATACCGCCTCCAAGCAGGAGAACAAATACTTTTAAAAAATACAACCACTTTGCTTTTGGAAATATTTTGTATGACCATTTTTACTACAAGCAAAGCTAGCATATGTTGTTTTGCTGGTATTCCTAGTTAGAGGTCGATCTTTTCTGAATTCCTGCAAATAAACCAAAGCCTCAGATCAGCTGCATTATTATAAAATGCAGCAGCAGTAAAAGCATTTCCTACCCTTCCCAAAGGACAACTGACAGATGTGTCTGCAACCGACATCTCCCTCCAGGAAAGGGAATAAACCACACCTGTTGAGAAAGTATTTCTGGATAGTGCTTTTGCCAGTTGTCAAGACCTTCTTCTTACTCGTGGTAAGGAACTAACGCTTGGCTCCCAGAGGAAGTCATTATGGAACCTGCACTGGGAACTTGGACCCAATTAACCTTCACAACCAGCTGTGTCATGTCCTAATGACTCGCTCACATTCTATCTTGATAACATTGCTCATATTGTAATATCACCTTAATGATAACTAATGATTATCTAAGGCTAAAAAGCTTTGCCTGAACAAACTTAAATTCAGTTTAACGTAGATTAAAATGCTTAGATTTCAAAACAGCGAAGACTAGAAAAGTTGAAGAAAATTCTGGAAGTTCTGGAAAATTATTCAAATTTCTGTAAACAGTTTTAATCTGATAAATTATCTGGATTTTTTCAATTATGTTTATTATATTTATTTCTATTTTGAGAGTTCTTGTCTAGTCCAAACTTTTCTTCTGTCAAGTTGCAGAAAGGGAATGGTATCCTTCAGGATTTTTTTTAGTTAAATGGCTCTCATATGACATCTCAAAGTATCTACAAAAGACCTACAGGAAATATCACTACTTCCATTTTATTTAACATTATAATCTTTATATTCACTTTATTTAACAGCCTTTATTGAATGTTCAGTCTCCAATCCACTCCTCAAGTTTACCAAATATCCTGAAAGAGCAGCACAGGATCTGCTTGCATTTTAAGCAACTGACCCATTCAACAATGTCCTTATTTTTTCTAAATCTATCTACCAGGAAAAACAAACAAACAAACAAACAAAACAAACAAACAAACAAAAAAAAAACCCACAAGGCATGCAAACATCTCCATTCCTTAGCATTTTGAGACTCTCCTAGACACACCAACTGTTAAAACTGTTAAAAATTGTTCGGGATCTAAAAGATCTTCGGGATACCTGAATTCTTCCCACATGTGGAAGAAACAGCTCTGGCATTAGAATGCCCAGAAGAATGTAGGGTCAGTGGGTCTAGAAAAACTGGACTCAAACATCTACAAAACAAGTAGATGTTACTGAATGAAGAGACCTGAAAATTCATGCAATCTCTGCAACCAAAATAGGATTGTATTTAGGTTTTCATTACTGAAGTTCTGTAAGAGGCCAGAGTTTAGTTCATGTGTACAGATTACCAACAGTTGGTAAGTGCTGGTGTTCCTAAATGCCCTAGGATTTAGATCCAGCCCAAGACACTTGAAGTTAATATACAGGCTGTACTTTGCACAATAGTATCATGCATTTTGTTTAGTCTTGTCATGATTTTACTTGTACTACAGTAAGTTGATGCCCTGACAGGGGAGAAATTAATGATTTCATTGTTACTTGTGATTACATTTCAGTAGCATGAGACTTAACAATGTCATGAGCATTTTTATATATGTGGCTACAATTTTCTTCTGCGTCAGTGCTGTTTTAGTTTATGAAACATGATGTTATGTTTGTGAACAGAGATTACCACTCTAGGAACATTAATGTTTTAGCCTTTAAGCCACTAAAATGTCAAATAAAAGCCATCTATATTAATAAAATTAGTTAAATTGTCTTTTCAAAAAATAATTAGCAAGAAAATGCAATTTGAACAAAATCACCTGCACTAACATTTCAGGGAAGTGGGAGATGTGCAAAAGGAACAAGTTACCATTTATTAGCCCAATAACAGACTTCACAACAGTGATCTGTATCTTCACTGATATGAAGTAACTTGCCTCTTGCTTGTCCAAAACATATTCTAAAAGAACATGGCAATAATGCTGTGCTAGCATCCAGACATTATAAATACATGCATATCTCCACTAGCTGACACTCTCCACCTTCAAAAGAAGCAAGCAAAGCTCAGCTTCTGAACTTGCAAGCGTTGAGGAAGGTGAATCTAGAACTGAAACAATGCAAGAGTGTTCGTTGTTGACATATGTTGACATATTTACTGGAATACATTAACAATAACCTTGGATGAAAAATGAGAACTAAAACAAGGATATGAAAGTCCAGTTTACATTTCAACAGAGCAGAACTAGGAAAATTATGTTTTCTGTTATGTGGGTAAACCTACATAACTGAAAACACAACTCAAAAATCCCAAGCCTGAAAGACAAACAAAGAAAAACCAAAAGAATAAATGTTATTCTAACATCTAACAACAGCATAAGAAAAAAAAAAAAAAAAAGCCTAAATTTATCAGAGCATCTAGCATATTTGCTAGGAGAGGATTTGGTAGAGCAAAATTGCTTCATCAGATTTAATTCCTAGAAAAAAAATATTTTCCTCTGTTTCTCATCTTAAAATCAGTTTACCTACTATTATTCTAGATTCTGGATATCGATGATGATTAAACATGTGGCTTTACTTGTGTAGTTCACTTTCAGTGAAGGACACAGTATAGAAATTATTTGGCTATCCATCTTCTTTCAGGTGTAAGGAACTCTCTCTTAAGAGTCACTTTGATTTAATGAAAGTATCTCTGTAACACAAAGAAAAAATCTGTTTCTCTTCCAAAGGGCTCTAGAGCTACTTACAGTTCCAGAATAAGAATGACATCTGTTTTATTCTCATAAACATCATGCAGTGTGATCACATTCGGATGTCGAATTTCTTTTAGTATGTTCACTTCTCGCTCAATGTCTTCCCGGCTTACTCCTCGACGGCTGGATTTTGTTCTCCTTTTCTTGATGAATTTTGCTGCAAATTGCTGACCAGTGCTCTTCTCACGGCATTTTTTCACTACAGCAAACTGCCCACTAAAAAATAGAAGGAAAGAACGAGAGAAAAGAGCTTACCTAAAGGGTATTTAGAAATAGGAGTAGTTTACAGCTACTATTGTCCTCATGAAACAGTAGCATCTCCAATTTTTTAATAAAGTGCTGTTGTATAGTTTAGAATGAAAATAGGCACAGGTAAAAATTCAGATTAACTGAAGTATTGCTTTTACATCACTCAAACATACACCTATACATATGGCCACACATTCCAGAAATCCATAAATGAAAGCGATCACTTGTATAGACTGACAGATATTTGACAAATATATGCATTGTGTTACTGGGAAAAGTAAAAATATCTATTCTTCTTCCACATACATGTTGTTTTGTTGCTGTTGTTCTCCAAGAGAAACAGTCCTATATTTCTTCCAATCAATATAATCTCTCAGTGTTGACTCTAATCTATAAACACCTTTTTTCTTCGTTTTTTGCAGAGAGATACTTGCCCTTTAAAAGCACAGATTAGGCAACACATCAAGAATTAGAGTTACTGTATCATCTTGACAAGTAGGCAGATTTTGAAAGTGAAAAGAATAGGTAGGTGTTCAGGAACAATAAATGACAACTGCTTTACTAACAAGGAAAAACACAAGGAAGTTGTTGACTCCAGCATGTTAATGTTGATGTATTTAGCTGTTGTTGCTTCTTATACGTTTAAAATTGCTGCTTACATTTTCAGATGAAAAATCTACAAGAACCTAGCTGATATGTTAAATAAAGAACAGGCCTGACAATACTGTTGAGATTTCCTTGTAAATTTTCTAAATCAATACCTTGCTGAAAATTCCCTAGCCATTGTGTATTCAGTTTATACCACTGTAAGAAAAATTCATGAAAATGCATGATGAGAAAATCTTCTAAAATTATTCCATTTTGTCAGCCAAAGAAGGGATGTCCCCTTAAACAGCTTTTTGTTGGAGTTAACCAAAGCTACATATAGCGGGTTTTAACTCTTAGTATGTGCGAAGCTATCTAGTACCTGGGAGAGGGCTACTCTGTCTCATTCACAGCTTAAACTACCACAGACATCTGTGGGCTGCTGTGTGCACCATCTGCAAAAAGAGCATCACATAATGACGAAGTGCCAAACAAGAATTATTGAAAGTTACACACCATGCATAAAACTCAAAGCATACTGCTACTTTATGATTAGAGATGCCAACACATGCCAAGCATGCTGATGAAGTAATTAAACAATTAAGGAATGCATGATAGACTCAATATAAAGGACGACATCTGAAAAACAACTGTGTTATGGGATAAATAAAGATAATTAAATGCTGCAAGGGAAAATCAGACTCAAGATTTTTGGATTTAAAATGCTGGATCAGCTGTAGAATACTTTGTGCTGTTGGGTCACCAGTACCAGCATTGAAACACTGACACTATATAGAAATCTAAGCAACAAACTCAGTCCTGAGCTGAGACACACAGTTAGTCATGGCTATATGATGCTTATCTGCTGAAGGCAGGGATGAGAGGGTCTTCTCAAACATGCTGCTAGTATTCAAAATGCAGTGGAAAAAAACCCCAAACTCTGAGAAGCAACGAGAGAAACAAAAAAAAAACCCAAAAAAGATTAGGCAAATGAATCAAGTCTTCTAACCATCATATAATGGACAGAGCTTATTCCGTCTCAGTCTTCTGTCTCAGTTTGTGTGCTGCACATGTGTACTGTACCTTACCTGGTGAACCTGGCCCTTGACAGTTTTTGTTTTTTCAGCAATGCAATGATATCCCTAAGACAAGGATATACAGGAGGAGAATTATGTACACGGTAGAACTGAGAAGTTTCAATGACAAGGATTCCTTTAATGCAAGACACAAAACCCCTGGAAAATCTAAGTCAAACTAAATTGGTAGCAGAAGGCTATGCAGGATACTCTATGGTATCTCATTCCCCTCAACCTGCTTATGTTTAACTCCACAAAACAGAGGTTTTGGGTTTTGTCCACAAGGTCTGAACAATTTTGCAGAAATGGAAATACAGTTGGAGCACACATTTAGATATTTGCATTGCCACAGAGAAGTGCTCTGGGCCCTCGCTTATGGGGAAGGGAAGCAGTGACTGCCTCTCTCCCCACAGCTCACACACCTTCATAGATACTGAGATAGCAAACTTTATTTAAAATGCAATCAGCTTGTAAAGGAGATCAAATTTCCAGAAAGATTGCTAAGTCAGACAGTATACACAGTTGGTCACCACAACTCAGCTTCTTCATCCTTAATTTGTTTGTTGGGTTCTACAACAGTACTAGAAAGTTATATGCAGAAAGCGCAGCAGAAAAACAGCATTCAGACAAAAACTGTACAGAAATTCAGGGAACAGATTGCCTTGTCTCCTTAACTATTCTTTTGAATGACAGCTTGTTCAATCATGATCTTCCTCTAACATGGTATGAAAAAAATGCTAAGACTAGAAAAAAACTTCTCCACACAGCAAAAAAATAGAGGCTGAGACTGAAAAGTAACTTTTAAGCATATACATTCTGATATCCAAGAAAGATCAGATTTAATTAAAACAAAAAAAACCTGACTGGAATTAGCAGTTAACAAAGTTTCACTAAAAAAAGAACATATCATTGACTTCTTATAGATGTGTGATGCTTGATTTTTGATCTTTAATACATAATATAATGCTTTTTTTGCTATGCAAGTATAGTAATGCAAGTATTTTTAAACATGCACTGCTAGAGGGACTGCAAGATACAGAAAGATGATTTCTCCATACTGTTAGCTTACTGGCTTAAGTTACACGATTCCCTAAAAGCCGGTTCATGCTTCTAACACCTTTAAGGCTAAGGACTCTTTTTGGCAATGGATCAATTATTGTGTTACAGTAAGAGGCTGACCTACTGAAACAAAGGCAAGCAATTGTTCTTTCTCCTCTTTCGAACTATGTGCCTTTATTTTTGCAGTTTTTTTTTTCCCTCAGATGTTGCCGTCTGTTGGGAGGATATGCTAATCCATCACAATTTAATATAGAAGTGCTATCAGAAGATGGTTTAAAACCAGATGAATTTGCATATTGCTTCTGTCCAGACTTAAACAGGGTGACAGGCTCCAGAAATCTTTGACATTGTTCCAGACTGCAAGATACTTATCAACTAACAGGTAACCGGAATAAGTAGTCGTTATACACTGAACAACCTTCCTACTGTTGTCATTGTGGTATTCAGCACATAACCCCACAATTAGCTGTCTGTTATTGAATACTATACATGCAGATCACTTTTAAGCTAATCTCAAAGCAGCTATTTCATGCTTGTGATCTCTAAGCCACACCATTTTACAGCATCCTCTCTCTAAACTTCTATTTTAAAAACAGGAGAGGTGTAAATCAAAGCATATTCACCAGAGTTTAAACAGGAGCACTACAGTAAGAAGCAGCGTAAATTAGCTCTGTAAGGGCTAGCTCATTCATAACTAGGAGCATGTATTTTTTAAGCTTCTGGGTTTGCAGGTTTGATTTAAAGTGTGTGGGTCACAAAAATTAGTGCCACTTTAGGAGACGATTACACTACGGGGAAAAAACAAACAAACAAACAAACTTCTCAAAAATACAACAAAAAACCCTACATGAAACCACAGTTAAAGTAGCTGTCAACAATTTTTTTCTCTTGCAGGACGGTATTAGGTTAGAAAGCAAAGGAGGATGACAGTTTGATGAGACAACAAAAACTTCTGTTAATAACAGTAATTTGTTTGTGATCTTGTAATTCTTATTGAACCAGAAGTTAATTACTATCCTAAATCTGCTCTTTATCAGGACACTTGGCATCACGCTGCTTTATCAGTGTTTTTTCCAGACTTGCTTCAGAATTAGCACTTTCCATATCAACTAATTATTACATTTCACCATCATTTTATGTCATAAAATAGTCATGTTCTACTAACACAGCATGAAAAAATAATGCAGAGAAAAAGGCAGAACTGACAGGAAAGCATCTAAATCCCACTTTACTGTTTGGCTTCATTTTTTTCCATAGCAGGATCACAAAACAACTACACATTAACATGAATTACGGACAGTTGTCACTACAAACACATTCATTTTAGAACTAGATGGAAAATAAATCTTTTTTTTGTTTTGTTTGTTTTTTTTTTTTTTTTGTTTTTGTTTTGAGGAAAGTATTGTAAGGAACTTTCAAAAGGCTGATCACAGTAAGCAGTGATGAGGAGTGATTAGCTATACTAAGTCCTACATTCTTCCCCAACTCTAACCCTTGTAGGTTTTACAGGTTGTCACCTGCTAGGCCAGCAGAAACTTAGCCGCAGTGATCTTCCTAAAGAGGTACAAGCTGGACACAGAGATGCTGAATTAATCAGGAATCAATTTCTAATATTTCTGGCACAAATGGGCAAGCATGGATTCATGCAATACTCTCAGACAGGCTGTTTAAAAAAGACAAAATTTAATGAAAGTAAGTGATGCAAATAATGAAAGGGCATTGCACTGACACGAAAGTACCAGATTAGATGTCTCTTTAGGTCTCCAACACCTTGGTGCATTTTGGGGGAAATAATGTAGAAAACTGATATTCACTACTTTGAAGATGTTTGTATTAAGATCCAATCAATATTGTTTACTATAACTTGTTGCCTGTTTTCCTTTTTGTAAGTCATTTTCACTCAGTGGAAAGAGACTTATATAACACTTATTAGATTGGCCTGTGAAGGAATTGCAACTTTACAATACAGCCTTCCTATGTTCTTCCCCAGAACACTTAGTAGAAGGAGAGCGCCTGTGTCTTTATTCAGACTTCTTCTCTTCACTGAACCCTTTGCAATTTCAAGCTACTTCAGATGTGGCAGCGCAAACAACTCTGCTAAAATCTTATGCCTTATTCCTGGGAATTAGATCTAGTATTGTGCTGAAGTATTAGTCTATAAACATGAAGTGCAGTTAGCAATATATGTCACAAGATATATGCGGCAGGGAAAGCTGTCTGAGAAGGTTTTTCTCCTCTTTCTTCCTG